ATGTAGGCGACTTTTGTGACTTGGTATTTGGAAAAAGGTTTATTCCCCAGATGATGTTTCACTTTGTTTCAACTGACAATAGATTCTAGATTCTCTGTCACTTGTCTAGGCAATAATCAATAACAAAAGTAAGTTGCAGTAACTTTCAATAGGTACTTTCCTTTAATCTTTTGATAATATAAATAAAGCACTTTAACGGTGCAAAACGCGATTGATAATTGGTTTAAAAAATTATTCTGGATTCCAGACTTAATAAACAAAAAAAAAAACAGCGTACCAGCAAACGCTAAGACACCGTTACTCAATTCTGCAAGGACCCGACAGTATCTATCTTTAACGGAACAGATGGCGCTAGCGTAGCAGGTTTTTACTTTGACCTCAGAGATACCCCTCCATAACTTAAATAAGTTAAACTAATACATATCGCGTTTTAAACCGTTACAGTGGCTTATTTAAGTGTGTGCTAATCGCGTAAACTACAGACAGTATTTGAGGACATAATTTTAAAATCTCATACGTGAATGTAGACCCATCACTATAGGGGGGGGGGGGAAGAAAGAAAGCCCCCACCCCCGGGGGGGGGGGGGGGAGGGGGGGAGAAAAAAAAAAAAAAAAAAAAAAAAAAAAAAAAAAAAAAAAAAAAAAAAAAAAAAAAAAAAAAAAAAAAAAAAAGGGGGGGGGGGGGGGGGGGGGTAAAAAAAAAAAAAGGGGGGGGGGGAACACCCCCGCGGGGGGGGGGGGGAAAAAAAAAAAAACCCCCCCCGGGGGGGGGGGGGGGGGGGGGATAAAAAACACCCACCCAGGGGGGGGGGGGTTTAAAAAAGGGGGGGGGGGGGGAGGGGGGAAAACCCCCCCCGGGGGGGGGGTTTTTTGGGGGGGGGGAAAACCCCAAAAAAAAAAAAAAAAAAAAAAAAAAAAAAAAAAAAAAGGGCCCCGGGGGGGTTATTTTAAAAAAAAAAAAAAAATTGAAAAAAACCCTCTGGGGGGGGAAGGAGGGGGGGGAAAAAAAAAAAGGGTTTGGAAAATTTTAAAACGAATTCACCTTAAAAATTTTTTAGAAATTTTAATATTCTTCTCTTCGCTTATAGACGTGGGACCTCATCAACGTATTTGGCTTTTTTATGAGAATTGATGTGTAGAGGTCACTGCACTTAAAAAAGTATAATTACGGTTCTTTGCTAGAAAGGTCTCATAGGTCATGGCAGATTCATTAATTAGCATATTAAAGTTTAACACATTAGATGACATCATAGTGGATAATCAAGACAAAACAAACAAATCAAAATTGGCTAAGGATTATTCAAATCACACCTAACTAGCTGTGTCAGCGACTTCGTCCGCGTGGAATAGTTATTTTGGGCATCAAATTTGTTTTTGCAAACCTTGTATTTAATTTTAAATTCAAGCTGTTACCCATGACATCGGTCGCGTCCCGTCGTTCTTGCAAGTTAATCTTAAAAGATAGACATATTACACTGTCGCTGACGTTTTTTATAGATCATTTAAAGAGGAATCACAAAGGTGAATAATTTTTCCCGTTTTTACACATTTCCCGCTGTTTCTTAGCTCTAAGTTCCTTCCTGGATAAATGTTGTAACACACAAAAATATTTTTTTCAATTCGAACCAGTAGTTCGTGAGATCGCCGCGTTTAAACAAACAAACAGCAACCTTATATATCAATATAAATAACGAGTGTTTTTCTTCACATTTATTTTTTATGACAGACGGGAACACAGATAAGCATGGGTCACTTGATGTAAGGTGAAGTTTCTTAGCCAAATGACATCTAAGTACGATGTGTTGTCGGTTAAGGACGATGATTTGTGAAATGGACTGTATAACGTTATACCTACCTTTAGAAAAATATACATGAAATTTTAGAAACAAATATAAAATCACTACACGGGCAGGCCCAGCATCTATAACGTTCCGGGCAGCATTGGTAGGGCAACAGCACGGTACGCTGTGGAACCCGGGTCAAATCCAGCCAGATTTTTTTTTTATTCAATTAATAAACGCCATCACGTGTGCATGTTGAAAATATTAAAGCTTTAGAAACACGTTTGATCTAGCGAAAATCAGACTTACTACATTCTTTATTAGCCATTTATTATTTTGGACCAACGAGCTCTTTCAATGCACACATCTTTCACCAAGACTGTTAAAGGCTTAAACACGTTTGACGGCTCTGATTTGGTTATAAGTACTCTTTTATCGTTTTTTTATTACTATCGATACGGTTTTACTTCATCGTTGTTGGTTCTGTAATTTAACTGTAATTTGCGATGAAATATGCGTTATTAATACTTTAAAATCGCCTTTATGACAGAATGAGACTTTTATTATAAAATCAATAAACATAAATAAAAACACTTTAACTTAACTTAAAATAATTTTTAAACACTTTAACTTAGTTAAACTTGTTTGAAAATTATTTTTAACTACGGCCCAATGTTTTGGATGCTTTGCAGCACCCGTGATCACGGCTATCAATCGGCTAAAATATATCGCGTTTCAAACCGTTAATGTGTTTTATTTATAGCAATTGTGTTCTCCCTTGAATCTTGCCTAACCATTGTAAATTTGATTAGTTAAATGCCTTGTTAGAGCAAAATAGATTATCAGCAGCTGTATACGATCGATCAAAAGACAAAGGAGATCTGTCTACTAGCAAAAAAGTTATGCGGAGGTGAGCGAAGTTATTTAATCATTAAGTTTGATAATGATAAGTTATCAAGTTGAACATAACTTTATAGGTTGGCAATGTTTAGAAATATGAGTGTCTTGGGACGCCGGACAAAAGTTTTAAACTAATAGAAGTTGAATTATGTAGGAAAAGGAGTGTTTTTCAAATATTTACAGCTAAAATAGGTCAACAGCGTGTCTTGTGAGATGTTATCTGACTGTATGTATTCTCAAGAGAAAGGTTCACATGTGTTTGTCTGTTCTCTATCATAAAAAAGGTAGTTAGAAATAAAGAAGCGCTTTGTATACCCTTTAGAAGTTATAATTTTTAAATTCCTTTTCTAGACAGAAATCTTTACTAGACAGAAAGACGCTGTCTATAGTTTACGCGAGTAGTACACATTTAAATAAAACACACACGTGACCACGGCTGCTGCAAAGCATCCGAAACGTCGGGCTGAAGTTAAAAATCATTTTTAAATAAGTTTAACTAATATATCGCGTTGTAAACCGTTAAAGTGTTTTATTTAAATAGAAGAAAGACGGTTTTAAACGTGTTTTATAAAAGCATTTCAACGGTTGGTAGTGTAGGAAATATGCTTCGACAGTTTATTGGTTTTTGAGCCTGTCCCTCTTGCCTGTTTAATTTTTTTTGCTTCATCTGCTAGTCACATTACATTGTATAATGACTACAGCGGCATTCATTATTGTTAGTAATCTAATGTAAGTTAGTAATGTATTAACATAAGTAACAAAATAATTTACGCGTTGTAGCGTCCTTAACCAATTTGGTTTCAACATCGTTGAAATCAAATTGATTTGTGTTCTATTAAAAACTTCACCCAAAAACCGAGGTACATTAATTTTTATAAGGCATTAACACCATAATAATCTCTGACCGTAAGGATTAAGGAAAGGTAACTGTAAGACAGGTCCGATCGAAATATCATAATGTGTGTCTACAGTGCACGCTGAGCGCGGTTGCGCGGGCGCAGAGTACAAAACGCGCTTTGCGACTAAATTTCTGCTGGAGATTGTAAAACGAGGAGAAATTAAATACATGTATATGACGAGAAGTAAGGGTTAAGTAGTGAGACAGGATCACACACTAATATGCGGGCATAGTTTCAATCTAAACAAAACGTGAACATAACTCGCCCGCGCATTTCTGTAACCACATCGAGCCGTGTCCACTGAGGACCTACCCTCATGGTTTAGACAGCTTAGCGGTGTCACGCATTTGTGGCGAAATTTATTGTTCCTCTCGACATAATTTGCATTATAGCTTATTAATCTGTGTATCCGGGTTGTATTTAAATCTGGTTCTGCATCAAAAGCTGACATTAATTAGAGTGATGATAATTTTTGTAAAAAACATCTATGACGTCTGTTGCCCACAAACGACGTTCCCATATTCTATACTATTATAAGATATGATAAAATTCGCAATAGGTAAAGTGTAATAACCTTTCTTAATGTTTACATAAATTTTGGTATTAACATCAAGTTTATGTATTCCGGTTTTTTAATTCTATTTAAGCATGTTTATTAAGTTACTTCAATGGGACTGAACAGCAGTTGTTTGTTGCTTAGAAATTTGGTAATATTTTGCGATATCTTGGTTTTAGTGATTTAAAAAATAAATTGCTTCAGATTCAAAAGGATACTGGATAAAGCTGTTTAAGAACATTTTATGCGTAAATAAAAAGACTATGAAAGTTAAATGGACAATTCTCCATCACTCCGAGCAGTAGTAAAGTGCTAAGAATTATCTCTATCTTTTTTACGGTACTTTTATGAGGTTCAAGGAGCGGTCCCCTTCATAAAACGCGATAATAATATGGTGTCTAGTTAAATGGATTTTTGTTATCATTATCTTTTCATAGATCTTGCTAGCTTTAACTTTTTATAGGTATATTTGTAAAGCCTACATAATATTGGTTGGACTAAGTTGCTTTATTTAGGGAAAACCATTGCAATATGGTTTCGCTTAAATAATACATTTAACAGTCAAACTTCTTATGCCACCTACTTAGACACTTTAGTTGGCTTACATCTTATAATTTTATTTGTAAGATTATATCTTAGGGGCGGTAATAAAGAGGACATTGCCTTAAAACAGTCATCCAAATGTTTAGGTTTTGTCCATGCACGTAACATTTAATTGTGTGCAAAGAACCGCTGAGATAAAATAACGTATATAACAATGCTATTGTGTAAATTTACGAGAGCAAGGCTATGATAAAAAATGTATTATTCTTAAATAGATAAAACAATATCTGATTAAATATCTTCTTCTTCGTTCTTGGTATATTATAGTTTAAATACTTCGACGTCGGATTCTCCATCTAGGGATCTGTCTTCCAAGTGTATGATCTTTTCAACGTTCTCATTAAACGTCACAACGGACTTTCGTCTGGTACGTGGTCTCTCTCCAAATTCATCATCTTCCGATTCGTCTGCATTGTCCTTCAATTTATCAATAGATTGTATAACAATAGGTCCTTTAGAATCTGATTCCGAAATATTTATAGTCGCTTCTTTAGGTTTTTCAGAGATACCAGCATTAAGATTTGATGCTACATCTATCGGAGCATCTAACCTTTCTTGGAGCTTCTTGCCACTCTTGCGCAGTTCCTCTATGTTCAGTCTAGGTGTAGTGTAAACAGCTTCGACTTTTGGTGACTCAATAGATTCATTTCGAGAACGCAAGCTGTTCTGGTCACTAAATTGATCATAATCGGCTGCACTTTTCCTAAAACGATGAGATATTTTGTAAATTTATTGAAAAATTTTTATGTATTTTTTCTCCACTATATCGTAGAAATATTAGGTAGTCAATATAAGTCTTTCAACAAATATACTAGTAACGAGACATTTATTTTATTAATTTCTACTCCAATATTAACTTCGCTACATAGAAGATGAAAACTAACTCTGAACTGTTAGTCCTAAATTATATCATTATCATATATCTCAGTACCGTTTGAAGAAGATCCAAACCGCTATAGTTACGATCACTATAAAGAGGAGAACACCAAGAACTATGGTCGCCGCTAACAATCCAACGTCACGTTCCGGTACTGGACATATCTGTAGACTTTCTAGATGATCTTCGAGCGATACAACACGGGCTAGATTGGCCGGAGTGTCATTATTCTCGAAGTCCCTGTGAAAATATTAAAATCATAAAACGTAAGTACAAATATGAATAGAGAACAGTCTTGGACGGACAATAATTTAAAAAGGGTTTGACTTCTATTAATTCGCTTTGTGCTTTTTCTATTTATAATTAATGCTCTAAAACTAAATTTAAGAATAAGAATGCCTTACGCAATTAGTATACAATGAAATAAAGCACGTTAGAAGTTTCATTCCCCCCGTGACCATGGCTCTAAAGCATTCGAAACGCCGGGCAGTAGTTAAAAAAAAATTAAATAAGTTTCGTGATTTAAACTGTTAAAAGTATTCTATTTAAAAAAAAACACGAAATATTTTGTTTTTCTATAATACTTTATAATAGATTTCGTGATACTAGTTAGTACCTATTTTTTAGTAGATAATAGAATTTTAGTAGATAGTATGAGAGCAATTAAAAAAGAGAACGTTTATTGTTATTTTGTATTTAGTGTTCAAAATAAAGGTGTTTTGTTTCATTTCAAACCCAATATATCCAGTAACTGCAGTCCATAGATTTATATTTAAAAACACACGGTTTAGTTTCTGGTTAATTACAGTACAAAGAAAATAGTAGGTCATCCTAACTGGGCCCTAAACATACCAAGGGATTTTTTTTCATACCGGCATATGCCCTTCTTTTACAATAAGATACAACAGATATAGTACTCACTGAGTTAATTTAGTAACATCAACCGGCTGACGCTGTCGTAGACCATACACATACATTCGTAACGATACACCCCTTGTGACATCTCGTCGGGCTCTGGCTTCTTCATATTCAGATACAACTGTGCTTCTGAGAGTCTTGATTTCGTATCCAACGGACTGAGTCAGCTCCTCCAGAATTCTGTTTTCATCGTCCAAAAATGCATTTCTCATTGTTACAACTGCTACTTGGTTCCTGTCTAGTAATCTCACCTGACAAACAATATTTCATCGAATTTATTTACACAAGTTGCATATATATTTCATACGTTATTTGAAATAATATGTTAAAATGGAGCGCTGATTTGACTCGATTTGAATAAAGCGATTGTCATATTTTGTTCTTGACAGTTATGAACTTGTGTTAAAAAGAATATATTAAGATGTAATATTATAAGGAAATTAATCAACAATTTGATAAAATATACTAGTCGTGTCCGCGACTTGGTCCGCGTAGAATAGTTAATTTGGCCATTCATATTGTTTTTACAAACCTCAGCATTATAAAATATAGATGTTACCTACGACGTCGTCCGCGTCCCATCGTTCTTGCAAGTTATTATAAAAGATAGACATATAGTCTCGCGGACATTTTTCAAAATCATATAAAGGGAAATAAGTCTCTGGGTACATATTTTTTGGGTATTTTTTCCACATTCCACAATGAACAACAAACAGAGGTACTGTTTCTTCGCTCTTATTAGCCAGAACCTGATGTTTCATCAAGGCCAAAGCCTTTCTCGATAAATAGCCCAACTAACACAAATATATTTTTTCAATTCGTACCAGTAGTTTAATAGATAAGTACTTTCAAACAAATAAAAAAAAAATCCCTTTAGCTTTATAATATTATAAAAGAGAGATTTCAATACACTGAGTAAAACTCGAGTGGCGTTGTATTCTGGCTATAAACAAATATTATTATTATGTAAACGGTTAAGGACATCTTAAAGTAAACAATTCACTCTTATGTCTGAATTTTAAGGTTTTTACATCTTAAAATTGTCGGTCAAGTGTGTACCGTTACTCCGTCGGCCTCGTAAACGTTTTCTTAATTAATTAGTAATTTATTCTTTTTGCTTTATGTCAGTTTGATATCAACAATGTTACATTACAGATAGTTGAGTTTTTAACTTTGAAATAAAAGTTTGAAAAAGGAATTCGATTTTTTTGCTAATTCGAGGTTTAGTTATACATTTTTGGAATCTAAGAAATGAGATAAATTAGGGTATTTAAATAAAAAAAATTTAACGGTTTAAAACGCGATATATATTAAACTTATTTTAACTACTGCTCGACGTACAAAGTGACGTAACGAAAGTTTACCTAATATATATGGCATTTTAAACCGTTAAAATGTTTTATTTATATGTGTACTACTTACCCACGAGCTTCAGACAGTATTTAAGTAGGATATCAAGACTTTTTGTTAAAAGACGCTAATCTCAGGAACTACCTAGTGGTTCTAATAAAAAGAAATATGTTGGATAAACCACTTATCGAGAACGGCTTTAGAACATGACGTTGCAACCAATAGTATTGACGAAATTGTGGAAATTTGAATACAATTTTCTACGTAATCTGGGCTGTGACGACGGTTCAAGAAACCGAATAACATGTAATGCAATGAAAAAAATATTTCCCTTTAATGACCTAAAAAATACTATTAAGACTATATATTATGTCTATCTTCTAAAATTTACTTGCAAGAACTGTTTGGTCGAAATTAATGCATTATTACCAATTGGTTAGAGTTGTATCATCATAAGTCTTAGAAACAATGAACAATCTTTGCCGGATCGAAAAAATAATTAATAATTTTACTTAGTCTTTATTTACCATCGTTAAAGGTAAGGACAAATGTAAAAACTTTACACCGTTAACGTCATTAAAATTTGCCCAGCCATTTGCATAGTTTGCAAACCGGGAAACCACATCGTCTATGACACATTGATGCTATCATAGAATACGTGACTGCGAATTTTTCATCGGCCTAACAGTAAAACGGTTTTTATTTTGTTATAAACAGGATATTTGGTGTCACCAAAGAACACTCTTAGTTTGACTCGCGTGACAGGTTTACATGAGGGTTTGGTGATGTTTGCCGTTTGATGCAAAAAATATTCGGTCATTTAATAATGACAGTCTATACTAATATTATAAAGCTGAAGAGATTGTCTGTTTATTTGAACGTGATAATCTCAGAAAGGAATGGTTCGAATTAAAAAAAATATATTTGTATTTGTTAGAGCATTTATCGAGGAAGAAATAACAAACGAGGAATATTATTCACCTTTGCGAGTTGCCGTTGCGTGTGCGGCGAAAACGTTCAATGTATGAAAAAATGTTAAAAATATTCCTGTTTAAATGGTCTAAAAATGTCCGCAACAGTAGATATATGTCTTTTAAGATTTACACAGAAAAGACGGGGTGCAACCAACGACGTGGGTGAACAGCCATGATTTATAAAGATGAGGAAGTTTGCAAAAACAACTTTCGACGTCCAAAATAAGGACGAAGTCGCTAGCAAAATTTTATAATAAATAGCATATAACAACGGAGGCAACAAATACACCAGTAATCATAAAATACACGCTTTAAGCGTAAGACTGTTGCTAAGGATGCATTTTTCCTAAAGACTTCTTTACATTAGGTATGACCTAACGTAAAGAAAGATAGGTATTTATTTTTGCTAATATTTGTATATTTTACTAATATTTTTTCTGCTAGTGTTTAAAACAGCGCAACAAAGAGATCAACCATTGTCTTTTAACATTTTTAAAAATCTTCATTTATTAGGCTTTAACCTAATAAGGCTATGTCGCCCAATAAGACAAAAGTTACAAACTACAATTCCAAATTAATAGAATATCTGTACTCTTATATCTACATCATAGCCTTATAAGTTTAGTAGCATCCTAGCCTCCTCTGAAAATGTAAAGGCTAAGATACTACCAGAACACCCAACATTTTTTACACATAGATTTACTCACTAATACCCGCGATGCCGCATTCCGTCTTTTAACTTACTCCAATGTTTATCATGACGATCTTTCGCGTCTGAGTTCGAATCTTGAGTAAAGAAATTAACTTCAATCGTTTTGTGAATAAAACTCTCTTTCGTCTTTAGAGCAAATTTGCAATCAGAGATTGAGCAAGTAAACGGTTTATTATCCTCTATAAAACTTTAAAATTGTGTGCCAATCTAAACCCTTACCAAGATTTCCAAGGAACTTCTGAGACCAGTGCCGTTTCTATCGATAGCGTTAATTGTGAAGATTGTGTTATCTTCTAACACCACGTTGTTCCTCAAATGCACAAAACCAGTGACTGGAGACACGACAATCCTCTCATCAGCACTGGCATAGTGCAGTTCTGCATTTTCCCCAATATCAGCATCTGTTGCCTGTAAGAAGAATTTTATAAAGTCCATAATTAAATACTATCTATAGTTTACGCGAGTAGTACAAATTTAAATAAAACACTTTAACGGTTTAAAACGCGATATACTAGTTAAACTTATTTGAAAATGATTTTTAACTTCGGCCCGACGTTTCGGATGCTTTGCAGCAGCAGTCTCCCCGTGACCACGGCTAATATATCGCGTTTTAAACCGTTACAGTGATTTATTTAAAAGGTCCATAATTGTTTTCCTTCTGTTATTCTGGATCAAAAATTATATTCTATCATATGTTACATGTAAGGGATTCGATGAGGACGAATACGAGGTCGTGAGTTCGAGTTTCGCCTGAGTCCTAGAATTATTTCAATACAAATAGACCTTTAAGTTTTGTAAATTACTATATTGCAGGCATATGCTGGCCCACAACAGTCGACTGCTTGTTTTATTTAAGCGCTAAGTAAGAATCAAATAATTACATAACAAGAATCCCTTTATACAATTCAGCAATTCAATGCTTACTGAAATGTATTTTTAAATAATATCTTATTATATGTTCATTTGAATTACGAGTAAAGCAGTTATTAGGATTAAAAACCTAATCACAGTTGGGATTCGAACTCACCAACGAAAGCGTATGGGGTCCTGTCAAGTTGAACAATGTTTATCGAATTTCTGCACTAGGCTAACTTACAAGTTTAGGTCCCATCGGTGTCGTAGATTTCCAAAATATTGTTGTAATGATATATTTTAAGAAATCTATGCTAATAGGCTACAAGTCACAGTGATGTAATATTGTCTAAACTGTTATTCAAATATTTACGCGAATAAAACCTTATGCATCGAAAATTTAAGAATACTTGATAAGTACGTATTTGTAAACTCAGTCGACGCTAAAAGGATGTAAGATGCCGGCCAAGTGCGAAAGGCACTCGTGCACGACGGATTCCGTATCATTGACAAGTATAGAAATACTGTCTGTAGTTTGTTTATTTGGCGGAACTACGACGGAACAGATGGCGCTAGCGTAGCAGTTTTCACTTTGACATCAGAGATACCCTCCATCTTTAGTCTCCCCGTGACCACTGCTGCTGCAAATCATGCGAAATGTCGGGTAGGGAAAAATATTTTTTAACAAAACAGTAATAAATTTTGAATTGTGATCTATCTTTTTGAAATACAAACAAACATTCGGAGAGTTAGTAACAGGATCCCGTTTTCAACATTTGAGTACGAAACCCTAATAATATAACAAGTATTCGAGTAGGTATTTGATATTAATGCCAATAAAATGAGTCACGACTCTGATATTTCTAATTTGTATCTTTAAGTTCATTAGGCATTTGCTATTCATAACGACCGCATCCTTAGTTCAATGCTTGTAATTTTTTTGATTCGTAGTCTTTGGGTTCGAATTCTAGGAAACTGTACTATCTTTAGATAAATTCGAACAGTTCGACAGATTGAAGTGAAATATATAAGTTAACTTTTTTATTTTATTTTAACCATAGCCCGTAAGTAGGTGTCTTTAAATAAAATCAAGCAGTCATTCCTATCTATCCTATTGAGACACTTAAAAGGGTTTTAAACGAGAAAGATATAAATTAACGTTTCTTAATTTATTTTAACTACGGCCCGCAAGTCTTTATAATAAAACGATCAATGAAACAGATGTTATTAAAACACTTTTAACGGTTCAAAATGCGAAATATAAATATTATTAGTAAACTTAATTTACTCCATTTCAATTATTGTTTGACGTGTCAGACGCTTCACAATCGTCGTCACGGGGTGATAACAATAGAGGCAGTAGTTTCAGTTATACAGACACAGATTTGCATCTACCGTAGACCAATGCTATTTGACACATATTACTACTGTTCGTTAAGACCTGGAAATACTGTCACTAATTTTCGCGAGTAGTACACATTAAAATAAAACATTTTAAAGGTATAAAACGCGAAACGTCGGGTCGTAGTTAAAATAATTTTCAAATAAGTTTATCTAGTATATATCGCGTTTTCAACCGTTAAATTGTTTAATTTAAAGGATGGCGTGTAAATCATAAGTACGGTATTTTGTGAATTTAATTTTGTGAAATATATATTCATGTTTTAAATGTTTGATACATAAGATTTCTCAACAGTCACTGCAGGAGAAATTTTCGACGGAATCGAAAAAAATAAAGAGCAAATGAGCAAACTGTTCCGGTTTAGATGTTTTTATTTGTTTCTTGTTATTTTTGGTCGCGTGGAGATTCCGAATAACAACTCAAGCGGCTCAGTAGGACGCCGTTTGAATAATTTGAAGAAAAAGTTCGCGAAACTTCTTAATTTTCGTTTTTTCGTATGCCATTGACTTTCAACAATGTTTACTGCTAATATTAGACTTTAGGGTCCTGTTATCTTTAAGCAAAGGTCTCGTTACACGGTGCTGATGATAATTACTATCATTAGACCAACAGCTAATAATGCAATTTAATTTTTCTGAAAAATGTTACACTTCTGGAAATCTGGATATAAAATGGGTGATAGGAATATCGAAATTCCTTCCCGGTTACGAACCACAGATAAAAGAGTCTTGAAGTTTAATCGGATTTCGGAATATCTAGAACCAAAATAGGCGAACAGCGCATCTTGTCAAGATATTTATATGCGAACCTCATACTTGTCTGTAGTCCTCCTTTAAAAATAAACCGAAAGTAGGTAGTGCGAAAAAGTCTATAGTCATACACATTTAAATATAAGGCACCATCTAAGTATTAGGTAAAGTCTAATCAGAGACGAAGGAGGATTTTAGAATAGTAGAGTATTATAGAAAAAGGGGGGCGGGTAATTTTATTCTTGCTTAATAGTTAAGCTAAATTAACATACTTTTACATACCTTCAACTCAGCTAACGCCCTCGGTAAAACTGTTTCTTCTATGTCACCGCGCGGGTATCCAAACGTCAAAGGTTCCCGTTCCTTCCCATTGAATACTGGAGGGTTATCATTAATATCACTAACTATTAGATTGACTAATGTCTTTCTCGGACTGTGCATTATGCTCTCAGTCAAAACCCATTTGTTCGATCCATAATCGCTCGAATCTTGCGCATCTGTATCCAACGACCGTTTACTGCGCTGGTCACAGATTAAATTCAGTTCAACTTGAATTTGTGACACTGGCATGAAAGCGATGGATTTGTCTTCTCTATCTATAGGTCTTGCATGTAAGCCATTCTCGTCTACGTATAACCAAGGTTGGTTTGGTGGCCATCGGTTTGTTAGTCTATATTGGCAGTTTGGATACTTAGCGCGGTCAAGTTGCACTATATTCAGGTGAGCTGCTTCTTCATCACGCTCGAAGACTAGGAGGGGTGGAAGATTGATTGCGTTATCTGTAGCATCGATCACTGTCAGTTGCACCTGTGTATATCAAAAATTATATAAATATCTCTTCATATCTGTTGGATTTTTATATATTTATATACGAAACGTTATATATTATATGTATAAGAAAAATTAAAATATAACTTATCAATACTAAAAATAGCACAATTTCTTTGTCAAATTTACTTAACAATATTTGGATAAAAGGTTGTTATCCGTAAAATATATATAACACTGTTTTATAAAAATTAGGTGACGAAGTCTGTAGCTTGCGCGAGTACAAAATTAAACAAAATACTCCTGACAAGTTTAACACGATATAAATTATCCCCATGACCAAAGCTGCTGCAAAGAATCAAAAGCTTCGAACAGTAGTTAAAATAAATTGTCAATCAGATAAATTATATTTCACGATTTGAAACGTTAAAATCGAAATTAAGTCATTAAAAAAATCCTAAATTTGTAATAAATTCAAGAGAGAAGACAAAGAGATACATTCTTACCGTCGCAGAAGCCGTGACTCGAGAAATAACAGTCCTAGCGGTCACTTGGAAGTTGTAAGTACCAATTTCTGTCGGAGCAGACAAGCTGATCTCACCAGCATTGTTGATCGTTATTCGTTGTTGTAGGTGATCTGTAAAGACGAAAATTACTTTTAACATATGTCTACATACATGCCATACTGTAGAAGAGTTTTGATCATGACGAAAGTCCCATAGCTCTCATCAGAATATTAATGATTATAAATAATAAAACTTGAGTTATATTTCTGTTTGAAATACTATAATTATACTATGTCGTAGTATTATTTTTTAATATGAAACATGGTATATTTTGGATATATGCATTTTTTAGGTAAATTTTTTCCGTTTTAATTCTGTCATTATTAATTTCTTTATTAACATAACTATGCCCTTCGTGGCGTAGTTATGATAAATTTCGTGAAATAGAAATTTTTCATGATTTGTCTTCTTCGTGTTTCGCCTATAGATTTCAGATTTGAACTTCATTTGTATATATTTGGTAAGGTTCACATGGTTTTAAGTTTAATAAATATACAAGTATATTTTTAAAACAAGATTAATGAGAGTGATAAAACAAAGTACATTTCGCGTAATTAATAACTTGTCACGTAATGTTTACTTGTGCTACGTCGCCGATTCTAAATATACCCTCATTTGTCTTGAAGCAGCTGTTACCTCCTAAGTGGTAATAAATTAAATATATTTTTATTGTGAGAGTTGAAAAATAATTATAAAAATAGAAACAATGGAAATATGGAAGGAATAAACGAAGGGTAAATTATTTATCTTTCTGAGTTTCCGTTGCATGCGAAAACGGTTCAAGATACCCACAAAATATATAGGAAAAAATAATTCCTTTTTTTTGTAATTAAATTTGTTAATAAAAACGAGTAGACCAACAATTTCTTTTGTAATATGTGACGTTATAATTTGCCAATCTAAATTATCTTATGGAAGATGGTGTAATCTATACTAATATATAAAGCTGAAGAGTTTGTTTGTTTGAACGCGCTAATCTCAGGAACTACTGATTCGAATTGATAAATTATTTTTGTTTTGGTTAGAGTATTTATCTAGACAGGCTTATAGACAATATAGAATAAAACATCGCCCTGTGACTACAGTGCGTGATACAGCGGGAAATGTGAACAAATACGGGGGAATTATTCATCGTCTATGGGTTTCAGATGCGTACGCTGCGAAACCGGTTCAAGATACCTAAAAATGTGTATGAAAGAATGATTCCTCTTTAAATTATTTGAAAAACGTTCGCGACGGTACATGTCTATTTTCTAAGATTAACTTGCAAGAACGACGGGAAGGGGCGCGACTTACTTCGTGGGTAACAGATTATTAAGTTTATAAAGATGAAGGTGCTCAAAATAACGATTCTCGCGGACGAAGTCGCTGACACAGCTAGTATATTATATAGCGCAAGTAATATGCAGGGATTATACGAGTATATGTATTTACTCATGTAAGATAATAACGTTATTGTCTGGCGTTACGTTATAGGGTATACAATATACAATAAGTTATTATAATGTTATTAGATTATCTCTAGATTAGTGTAGCTTCAGATATTGACTAGAACAACGCCATAGAAATAGTTTGTCTGTACATTTGTAACATTAAAACAGAGAGAGGAAATCCAATATTAAACAAGATCTTTATTACATTGTATGATTATGATGTCAACAGCATAAGAGAAATTTTTTAAAAGAACTCTGACCCATACGGCAGACGGAATGGTAGCATTATAACTATAACTAGTAATCAAGAGTTGATTGAGGGGATATTTTTGGAGAAAAGCGCCAGGATAAAGCTTGCTTATTCAAACAGAAACTGCTGAACAAGAAGATCCGCCCACAAGATGGACTAATGGCGCAAAGGGATGGGATATTGCGTCATTCATTTGTACATCATACAAGTAGATTTATAGTAAGTTTCTACTTGAATAATATTTTTCATAAGTACCTAATTATTGTATGGCTATCAATGGAGCGTAGGTTCGATTCCCACCAAGGTAAAAAAGTTGTTTAAATCAATTTATATTTTTTCTAAAACACGTTCTACTTCGTCTGAAAAATCTGGATATGAAATAGTAGATAGGAATATTGTAATTTCGTCAGGGTAACGAACCATTTAGCCACAGATCCAGGGAGTGTAAGCGTTCAGTTTCAGTCTATATGGATTTCCGAATATCTGGTAGACAAAATAAGTCGACGGCGCATCTGTTGAAATGTTATACGACTGGGATATGTCACTTTCCATTAAGTGAATGCTTGTCTGTCCTACTTTATTGTCATACAAAAGCTAAATATAAATTTTTAAAATTACTTTTAGTAAAAATTTAGTTTAGACTTAGAAAAATACACAAGTGGATCTCGGCCCGCCTATGTTTAAGAAAATCGACTATAATACTAAGTTACTACTACTACTTACTACCACGATTATACCAAGTTCTGTGTAAATTAGAAAATTCCTGGAACAAGTAATTGTACGTACGATATTAGTCCAAATTTCTTCGAATAATTTCCTTTGCGAATTCCTTAAGATCTTGCAAGATTAAAACGATTTATTCTCTGAGAATGTTTTAAAGGAAATCAATACAGTCATAATTTGAGAGGCTTGAACGCGCTTGTTTGGCGATAAGCTCTTCAACTGCGTGTGGGTTTGAAGATTAATGATGTTACATATTACATTGTTTTGGAATATAATATGCAATTGATAGTTATGTCATCGATTTATATACGTCATCTTTTTTTATCACCAAAGAGACATATGGTTCAGTTGGTGGAAGATGAAATTTTAACATCTAAACTACTAAAATAGGTGACGGCTCGATGTAGTCGTCACCTATTTTGGATTTGCACATTCGGGAATCCACACATTGAAATTGGAACGGTATTAAACTGCCCGGATTTTCATCTGCGGATGGTGAATTTGTGAGCTAAATGTCAAATTCTTATCGGTCATTTTATATCCACATTGGGCAAAGCACAAAATTTTCAAAAATTTAAAAATTATTCAGAAACATATCGCACTCGTTGGAGATCGAACCCAAGACGATTTGATTATTAGGAATGTAATGCTACCATTAGAACTATAAGCTTCCTAAAAACTAAACAATAACTAAAGAAATCAAAACATAGGCACTAATAATGTGACGTATTCATTATTTTATCATTTATCTGTTTCCAAAGTTCAGGATGGCTATAAATCTTTTTACAATGGCCAAGTACCTTATTAAAGTTAAATTTTATTGTTCCAAAATATGCCTAACGAATATTTTTTCACCGGTGGGCACGTATGAGAATGTACGCACAGATAAATATTTGTGCACGTCAGGGAATCGAACTGCTAAAATAATCAAATGTTTAAACAAGCAACTGTATACATTTTGTAACGTGGATATATTCGTGTTTACTTATTAAATACAAAATATAAGGCAAAGGAAAAAAAATCAAGCGTGAACAACGATGCCCGTATCCTGTCTTTCATGTAACTCAATCGAACAAAGGATATAAAAGGTATTTTCAAGATCGATATCATTCGATGGCTTCAAGTGATTTACGTGTTCTCTTCAAAACTGATAATCGCACTTAAAATTGTATACGTTCTATAGTGTTCATAAAGCTGAGTTCTTATTGGGTTATGTATTTTCATTAAACGTATTTATGTCCTTTTGTTGGGCTTCTCTGTCAAGAGAGAGGGTAGAATAGCTAAAAGTCTCAACACTGTACTCCAGTTCGAGTTAGAGCTCAATCACACTAGCGAAGCGTTTTTATTCACGTGTACAAACGCCAGTCTATCCAGCCCGCAACGGTATCGCGACGCTTTCGCGATCTTTTCGCAATTAATTAGTGTGATAAGACCCTTAGTGGGTTATACCAATTACCGCCACTTGAGTAATAATAAGTGGTCTAAATAAGGCTCGGAGGTGGTAATACCTATCACGCGGTGGTACTCTGAAATTTTCTGATAAGTACCAAATACCTAAACTACATTTCATTGGATTTTGTATGTAAGAAGAACGGAATAGAAAACCAAATCGAAATATAAAACTGTTCGTTTCCGCGGGATTTTGTGAAAGGAGGTTTATACGATGTGTAGTGGAATGAATTTGTTATAAGTGAACTTGTGCAAGCATGTCGTTCAATTTTCTTTTACAATATATAGTATAATTTTCTGAAAACAACAACAACTGGGATAGTAGAATTAGTTATAAAGAAAAATAAATCATATTTGGAATATAACATCAATGATTTCTGTTATAAAAGGATGGGTTCTTAATTCAAAATCCGGAAAGTTTACAGAAATTTTGAATAAATTACGTATTTACGTGTTAGAATTTGTACACAAGGTTATTTATATCGAATATAACCTTATTTTTCGAGTTTCACCGCATAAAACGAGGTAACATAGCGACAATACAATAAAAGACAATATAATCTCAGAGCGCGCATGCTGGGCCAGCTGTTGATATCCGAGGCACATGACTTGGGAAATAATTTCCTCGATCCTCGAACAAAAAAGGGAACGCAATGTATTCCAAACATCGTGAGGAAAATGCTTTGCATGACAATTTTCTTATCAAGAATAAAGGTTTTTACACTAATGTGTTGACTAAGGTGAAGATAAAATTTCTGTGATTTAAAAAAAAAGGAAAATTTAATGATACCGATCACCATTTGCTTAACCTAAAATGATTTATTTTAAACCCGAGACAAGCTTAACGACCCAGTGCTTTGTCATGTAGCTTTGTTGAGGTTTGGAGTAATCTATACTAATATATTAAAGCTATAGAATTTGTTCGTTTGTTTGTTTGTAAGTTTGAACGCGCTTATCTTAGGAACTGGTTTGAATTGAACAATTTTGTGTAAGTTAGAGCGAACGAAGTCTCTGACACAACTTGTGTGTTGTAATATTTTGAACACTATATAATTTTAGGTACATACTGACCATTTTGAATATCTAGGGAATACGTTACAGCTTCTCCATTATCCGCTGTGGCTGTCACTCTTCCAACTATCCCGATAAAGGAGTTGAGAGCTTGGAGTATGTAGGACGAAGACGTAAATGATAACGACGGTGGTTCCACAGGTGTATCTGAAAAAATCGAAATACATTGGTATTCATTTGGAAGGAAGGATGAGAGGTCAAATTATGTTTAAATAAAACACTTTAACTGTTTAAAACGCGTGATATTAGTTTAACTCATTTGAAAATTATTTTTAACTTCGGCCCGACGTTTTGGATGCTTTGCAGCGGCCTTGATCGGGGAGACTAATATATCTATTGCGTATATCTAATATATCGCGTTTTAAACCGTTAAAGTGTTTTATTTAAATGTGTACTACTTGCGTAAACTATAGACAAAAGTCAAATTCTAGTTTTATTTATTTAAATTTAGTTTTTGAAATGATTTGCAACGATCTACAACGGGATAATAATAGATCTTATTTATCTGTAATATAAATGTAACTTATCATCACTACATAGTATAAAGTAATAAAGTCGCTTTTTCTGTCCCTATGTCCGCTTAAATCTTTAAAGTACGCAACGGATTTGGATGCTAGATTTTTAATAGATATAGTGATTCAAGAAGAAGGTTTTAAATACAACATTCACGTTTTTCTGTAGTGTATTTAATATCAGCATTGCATCGAGATATTGTTTTAAACAATCAATTAACCCATCAAAAAAAAATTAAAAAAAGGAGAGCCAAGTTCAATACAAAAATAATGCTTGGCTGTGGGCTGTGCTGTTAAAGAATCTAAATAAGTGCCAAATTCAATGCAAAAACCAAGTGTGTATTTGTATTTATACAAAATAATATTATGAACAAGTATTAAACTCTATTTCTTTGGTTTATTAAATATTTCAACAATTGCTGTTATTTAAGAAAAAATAAGATATTTAAGTAAGTTAAAAATTGACTTGGCCAGTTTTCATTACAGCCATTATTAAGGTATTCAACGTAAATACATTGGGCCTAATCGTCTATTAGAGCGAAAAAGATCTGCCTTTCTACTCCATCACGCCATGTAATGAATAATTTCTACTATAACTTGGTATAGTTAAGAATATATTTTTAAGGAAACAGTTTGTATATATACTTTGTGTTTTCCCCCCCCCACAAAAAAAAAAAAATTTTTTTTTTTTAGGGGTGGGGGGGGGGGGGGGGGGGGGGGTGGGGGGGGGGGGGGGGGGGGGGGGGGGGGGGGGGGGGGGAGAGAGAGAGAGAGAGAGGGGAGAGAGGGAGGGTGAGTGAGAGTGAGAGTGGGAGTTGGAGTAGGAGTGATGTGGGGTGAGAGTGTGCAATAAATAATAAAATAAAATAAATAGCATAAATTTCATTCTGATAACAACTTAAAAGTCCAAGTATTTTTAACTACATATTCAACGTTTCTTTGTCTTGGCAAATATCATGAAGTAATGGTAAATAATTGGAATAAATACATTCTCAAGCCAAATTATATGAATAGGACTACTATATCTACATTTAATTTAGTCCAGAGATTAATCTAAGCTACAAATAAATACAAATCTAGTATAGCCTTCCATTGTTAAAACGCCTTTTGAAAACTTATTAATCATAATTTGTTGCCTTAAAATTAAATCGGCATTTTTTTTACGTCAAGTAAATATTAGAATCGGAAAATAGAACTATAAATTCTGAGACTACAATGGCTTATAGGTAATTAATTAAAAATCTAATTAATATCTTGCTATGTATGTAAATTTAATGGCATAGAGTTTTGAATATCTATCACATACATCTAATAGGTCTAAAACTAATTATTAAAATGTTGAATGTGTCTGTTAAAAATCGATAACCCGAAATAATTCCTGTTTTAAACCGTTGAAAATGTAAATTGTCTATACACTGAAAATGACACAATGCAAGTTTTTCATAGGTACAATAAATTCTCAATGGTGATGCTAAGTATTAGGTGTTTGTTGTTTTTTCTTTATTATAGAGGAGGACAGTAAGCGTGTGGTAGGTGTTATACCCCCGCCATTATACGTCTAAACTAGATGTGCTGTCGAATTTTAGAATTGGATATTCGGAAAGCAAGACGATTGGCGACTGAATCGCAATTAAACATCACGGCTTTTTAATCTATGGCGGTGGCTCGTAACCCGGACGTAACTCCGATATTTTCAGATTTCCACACGAAGTCAGTTTCAGAAAAATTATAAATTGATTAGAAACATGTTGGAACAGTTAGGGAATAAACTCGCGACCCGTTGACTATTAGTCATACATTGCCATGATTACACCAGAGCCCGTCAGAATTACCTGATTGAATGACGTCCAGAAGAAGAACAGCGTTAGCGTCGGCTGCAATCAATCTAAGGGCGACGTAAGTTACGCCACTCGGCACATTTGCGGACGTTAGCTCCACAGTCACAATTCCATTTGTCACAGATGCCTTGAAAAATGGTCTGTATTCTGAAAGTAAGCAAGCGCATGAATAAACGAGCTCTCTCTTTCAATACGGGTATTTATTTCCTGTACTTTACGTGAATAGTATACATTACTGTCATTATGCCCATAAAATATTAGTTCGGCTTATTTTATTTCAATTAATATCATAGCAACTGCAACGCATCCGAAATGCCATGATCGTCGTCGTCGGGCCTTAGTTTAAAAAAAGGGGCAACTTATATACTTCGGGTTTTAAACCGTTCAAAGTGTTTTATTTAAAAGAAGACTAGGACTTTGCAATTTAGTCAATACACTTCTTCTATCACGTCTAAATAAGTACATTACTGTTGTTAGTTGTTGAGACAGGTTAAAATGTTTACCTCAACACTATAAAATATTTTTTCAACGGAAAATCTTATAAATGTGATGTTCCAGGTGAAGAATGATAATCAAAAATCCAATAATTGCTTTCTCCGATATTCCAGAGAAATAAAATGTATTTCACCAATAATTGTTGTTGAAAATAATGTTGGATGGAAAGTTTGATAGTTAATACAACTATCGTTTCTCAAGTCTATCCGATTACAGCTTGTACTAAGCATTCTATTTTAAAATTATTTATTTTTATTTTCGTCTGTGTATTTAATACGTTTTGGAATTGATTTAGAATCGGTCATTTTAATTTCATTACTATGTTATTACGATAAATATAATAGATTCGTTGTGTTATTACTAAACAGTCAGATTGAATTCGAAGGTTTGGTCCAACTCTAGTTATAAGATAAGACTACTCGGAATTGAATGATCATATGATGTTTATCTAAAGAGATATACAAAACCTTCGAAATTAAGTATTATAAAATGAAATCGTTGCGTGAAATGCCTTCCAGAGCCAAGTTAACGAATTTACATAAACAAATTGAAAAGGGATCTCATAATAAGTAATTCATAAGCTATATTTTTCGCCTCTTTATTACGACCTAAATAAGGTGACACCAGCTCTTGAATATTAAGAAATATACTTACCGCCTGCGATTTGCACTGCATCGTGATTTGACAATGTAATCGTTTCGTGTGCAAGTTGGCCATTTTCTAAACGTCCCGTGTAAAGCACTTTGTCAAATGCAGCTGTAGATTCCGGTGTTCGATCTGAAATTATTAAGCAGAAATTAACGAGGGGAACGGCTGTAAGGAATCTTAATATCTAAAGGGGAGACGAAAACCACATCACTACTTAAAATCTAATGATGTTTATGATACGGAAATAAAGATTCCACTGGCAAACAAAGAGTGTCGTTCAACTATCAATGAAGTAGCGATAAGTAATCGTTATCTAAACACGTCTATAATATGTTTCGATATCGTGATAATCCCGCGATTACTTGATTACTCATTCGTTTAATTGTATGAGTATGTTTATTGCGTGTTTAAATCTAAGAGAATCGCTTTTTATATCCTTATGATTAGAAATAATTTTGCCTCCATCTAATAAATAGTTGTTAAATCTTAATTTTCCTATTAACTTAGGCTTATTTTTTAATAAAGAAAAATTGTTATTAAAATCTTTACTACAAAATAATGTAAATTACTATAAAAATACTCACTATTCTGTATCTCGATGATAATAACAGATCGAGCAAGAACGGCCTCGACGCTTGGTTTCTGGGCTTGCACGATGAATACGAATTGTCTGGTGCTGTTCAGCACATTTTCTGGTAAAGTGCTTCGCAGTAGTAATGTTGCTGAATTCCCAGATTGGCGGATATTGAACCAAGTTGAATCCTCTGAAAAGTATTAATATCCTAAATAAAACACTAATAGACCTTACACACATTTTAAAATTTTATTTGAGAATGGGTAGTAAATGAAAATTTTAAACTTATGATAGTAAATATAAACTTTACACGTGACAGGTCTGGTGCCTGAAATGCTGATGACTGATTATTATGTTAATAATTATTACCTCCAGTTAAAGTAAATGTAGTTGCTTCATCAAAACCAGCCGTGAGTTTGATTTCAGAAGTAAATACTAAACCAGTGTTTTCTGCGTATGATCCTGAGTAGTACGGTTGCTCAAACCTTAAATATTTCTGTGGCGTATCTTTATTTTCAGCAACCTTGAAAACTATAGCTGCATACGCAGGGATAGCTCGTGGGGCTGTTGCGCGGATGTTTATCGTAATAATTCGATTAGTCGGAACACTGTCTTCTGGTATTTCTCGTTGAAGACGAATAGTGACTGTATTTCCTTCAATTGATTTGCTGAAATAGCCATTATGTTCTGAAAATTATGGTTTGACACCATTATAAAATACAAGTATACAACGAAAAAAAAATATAAAAGTGCACTAGCCGGTACCTCCAAGTAAATTAAACGCGACCATGTTTGTATATCCTTCGGTTAACACAATCGGGTCCAAGCTTAGATTATTGCCATCAATGGAACCAACGTAGTTTTGTCTTTCAAATCTCATTACTGTAGAACTTGGTTCTCCTGAAACATGAGAATATAAATTAAAATATGTCAAAAAAGATGTTTAATAAGCAATTAAATTTAGAGGTTCTACTTACCTTTTTCTATTGTAATAACAATAGATGATCTAGTTATTGCTTTATCACTGTCTCTATCAGCTCGCACAACAAAAATAAGCTTTATATTACTGTTGACTACTTCTAAAGGTACGGGTTCACGTAATATTAATGTTGCTGTCATTGTTGATTGTTCTAAGCGGAACCATTTGGCCTGATCTGAAATAAAAATTTCCGTGAAATTACTTAGAAGTTAAAAGAAGTAAAACTATATTAATGTGTGGCATTACCTCCTTCTAAGGAAAACTTTACAGTTTCATCATATCCTTCGGTGACTGATAGAGTTTGATCAAAAACGAGATTATTCTGTAAATTGTATAGACCAGTATAATAAGCACGTTCAAACCGAAGACTTTCTTTAACTTCTGTAGTATCGTCATTATCTTTTTTAACTTGCAAAACTATAGTAGCTCTAGCTAGGATTTTAGTTTGTTTTGTCCCTCTTATTTCTAAGGTTACAATATCATTATTGCGAATGTACTCCTCTGAAAGGTTTTCTTTAAGCGTGATATCTATGATAGTTCCTTGTCGGGAAGTTCTGAAATAGGTTGCGCCATCTAGAAAAATACATTTACTCAGCTTATATTAAAATGTATTAGAAATAACATATCTGAATCTGTTCTTCAGAAGAAAATAATCTCCTTAAAATTATGCATTAATTTTATATACATACCACCGTGTAGAGTAATTTCTACGGTCTCGTCATAGTTCCCTGTTACCGTAATTGATTCCAACGTCACCATTGTTTTATTTACAAATCCAATATAATGAAGTTTATTGAAATCTAATTCAGTGTCAGATATAGATTCTAAAAAGGTTCAAGGTGCTGATTAGAAGTTTCAAAAAATATATAAAAACATACATTCTTTAGTTATTGAGACTTACCACGTACAATTTCTAAAACAATCACCGACTGTGCTGTTTCATTTTCTGGTTTAGTCGCCACAATGGTAAATAAAATTTGATTATTGTTGTTAATTACTTCATCTGGTATTGTATTAGTTTCACTTTTACGTAACGTAACTGCGTTACCATTTGTACTAGAAGTGAACCATTGCGCTGAATCTGTAATAAAGAATAGTATCCAAGTTGAATAAAACTTTAAGTGTTTTGCATGTTTACTTTTGAATATATTTTGTGTTACTGACCTCCTCGTAGTTCAAATTTGACAGTTTGATCATAGCCATCAGCAAGTGAAATTACTTGATCAAATATTAAGTTCCTTTGAGAAGTCAAGCGGCCTGTATAGTAGGCACGATTAAAGCGCATAACCTGTGGTCTCGGTACATTATCTTCTCTTATTACTTTTATAACAATTGTAGCTCTGGCGAGACTTTGATCTGCTTTTGACACTCGAATTTCTATAGTTATTAAATTGTTGCTAGGAATAATATCATCCGTGAGATCTCGCTCCATTGTAATATCAATCAGAGCCCCTTTTCGCGAAGATCTAAAGTAATTGGCCAGTTCTACAAAAAAAAAGATTTCAATATTTTGAAAAAGGATTGTTTTTTTATCTTTATTTAATAGGCGACAAAACCTAACCTAATTATTATGTCGCCCATTAAGACAAAAGATACAAATTACAATTCCAAATTAATAGACTAAAACTATCTACATCTAGCTCTAGCTAGCTTAGCTATATCTTTATAATATGAGTTCAGTAGCATCCTAGCCTCCCCCTGTAAATGAAAAGGCTAAGACCACACCACCTAACATTTTTACACATATAAATTTACTCACTAATTCCCTATATATGCCGCATTCCGTACACATTCCGACAAAAAATTATCAGTAATAAATATCGTTGTATTTTGCTTTATTATTTTGTATAAGAGAAGACCTACCTCCGTGTAACGTTACAGAATGGGATTCATCATAATTCCCTGTCAGTCTTATTGATTCTAAGGATAAAGTTTTTCTATTTAGATTGTATGAACCGACGTAGTATGCTTTTTCAAATTCTATATTATCGTTTTCCGACGCTAAAATAAAAATAAATGTTAAGGTAAAATAATGATTTCAATCCTATCAGCTGCATGTATGTATGTACTCACAACGGACAATTTCAACAGATATTACTGCTTGTCCCGTTACAGCTTCTGGTTTAGTGGCCACAATTGTAAATAGAATATGGCTATTATTTTCTAGGACATCGTTGGGTATCATATTTGTTGTATTTTTATGTAGTGTCACTGAATTGTCTTGCCGAGATATGTAGAACCATTGCGATGAATCTGAAATAATATTTTTTATTTATTAAAATACCATTTATTACTATTCCAGAACTAAAACGATATGCTTACCCCCTTCCAGATAAAACTGAACATTGTCATCGTAGCCATTAGTAAGTGTAATTCTTTGCTCAAATATTAAGTTTCTGTCTGCTGTCAAACGACCTGTATAAAATGGGCGATCGAAACGAATCGGGTCTGGTCGTAGAACATTATCATCTTGATTAATGACTTGTAGAACTAAGGTAGCACGAGCTAGCACCTGCTCTGATTTCGAGATCCGCATCTCAAGTGTTATCAAATTGTTTCTTGGAATAGAATCTTCTGGTAGGCTTCGCTCAAGAACAACCTCGACAGCCGATCCTTGTCGTGAGATTTTGAAATATGTGGATAGCGCTACGAATTGAAAGAAAGTGTAAATAAAATATTTATGTGTGGGCATTATCTTATAGTAAGGGACTTGTTTAGCATTTCATACCACCATTCAATGTGATACTATCGGATTCCTCGTAGTTCCCTGTAAGTGTTACTGGTTCCAAAGATATAATACTGTCATTTAGAGATCCAACGTAATACGTTTTGTCAAAGGCCACATTGATTGCACTTTCTGAAATAGAAATTATTTGTGATATGGTGTCCAAAAGTGCAAAAGACTTTTGTAACTATATTACATATACATAATACCTCCAGGAAGTTCTATAGATATAGTAGCCTGTGCTATTACCGAATCCGGCTTGTTTGCCACAATTGTAAATAAAATATGTCTATTATTTTCTAAAACCTCATTTGGTATCATATTGGTTGTATTTTTATGTAATGTTACTGAATTCCCTTGTTCTGATACGTAGAACCATTGTGATGAATCTAGAAGAAAAACAGTATTTGTTACTTTAACGAATTTTCTACAGACTTAATAAAAGAATTTCGCTAACCTCCATCTAAATAAAACTGAACACTTGTATCGTAGCCCTCGGCGAGTGTAATTTTTTGCTCAAAAATTAAGTTCTTTTCTGATGTCAAACGACCTGTATAATACGGACGATCAAAACGAATTGAGTCCGGCTGTGGTACCTTGTCGTCTTGTTTAATAACTCTTAGAACAATAGTAGATCGAGCTAGCAGCACCTCATCTGATTGCGAGACCCTCATCTCTAATGTTATCAAATTATTTTCAGGAATAGAATCATCTGGTAGGTCGCGGTTCAGAGTCACTCCGACCGTATTTCCTTGTCTTGACGATTTGAAGTATGTGGACAAGACTAAAAAATCAACTATGTTGTTATATTAATATACTTAATAGTTTATTTGTAATGAAAAAAAACTTTACCGCCGTGCAATGTAATCATATGAGAGTCTTCAATATCTCCAGTCAGTTTTATTATTTCTAATGTTAGAATACTTTCATTTAGTGATCCGATATAATATGGTTTATCAAAATCTATATTGCTATTTACAGTTTCTGCAACAATACAATAGTATATTATTGATAATGTTAGATAAAACGTTATTGTAGTATAGAAAACTAATGGTACGCCATTTACCTCGAATAATTTCAATGGAAATAACTGCTTGGCCCATAACCGTTTCTGGCTTAGTAGCGGAAACAGTAAATATAATATTATTGTTATTTTGTATAATATCGTTTGGTATCATATTTGTCGTATTTTTATGTAATGTTACAGAGTTTCCTTCTTGAGAGATATAAAACCATTTTGATGAATCTGAAAGAGAACCCAAAATTTTATAAACATTTTAATATATTTTTTATATTATAATAAAATATTTACTAACCTCCTTCTAGGCTAAATTCAATATTTTCATCGTAGCCTTCAACAAGTCTCATTCTCTGCTCAAAAATCAAAACTTTCTCTGATGTTAAGCGACCTGTATAATAGGGACGATCAAAACGAATTGGCTTTGGTAATTCAATAGTGTCATCTTGTTTGATTACTTTTAAGACTAAAGTAGCCCGAGCCAGCGCCTGATCCGATTTCGAGACACGCATCTCTAATGTTATCAAATTATTTTTGGGAGTAGAATCATTTGGTAGATCTCGCTCAAGAGTCACTCCGACTGTAGATCCTTGCTGAGAGATTTTAAAGTACGTGGACAGAGCTACGAATAAAACCTGAGTGTTATAAAAATATTTCTTTATCGGTACTTTCTGCATGACTATGTAGCTTATTTTAAAAATTATTCTTACCGCCATGCAAAGTCGTAATAAGGGGTTCCTCATAGTTTCCTATTAGTGCCATCGGTTCCAATGTTAAAGTACTTTCGTTTAAAGACCCGACGTAATATGGTCTGTCAAATTCTATTTTATTATTTGTAGTATCTGTGAAGTATTTGATATTTCAAATTAGCACATTCAATAATATGAAATGTATTGTAATACTTTGTTACTTTATACCTCGAAGAAGCTCTATAGATATAACAGCTTGCCCCTTAACTGCTTCGGGCTTGTTTGCCACTATAGTGAATAAAATATGATTGTTATTTTCTATAACATCATTTGGAATCATATTCGTTGTGTTTTTGTGCAGTCTGACTGAATTACTATTTTGAACTATGTAAAACCATTCTGATGAAGCTAAAACAAAAATATCTTCATCAATACAAAAGTTATTTGAGAAAATAATGTTTTATGACACTACGAGACTTGTTACCAAAATTATTATTTACGGTAAGGTCAGTACCGTCTGTGCTATTATATTTTTAATATAGAAAAAAAACTCTTTAATCAAACTTTCAGGCGCATTTTATATACGTGAAGATTATATTGATTTGAGAACTAACCTCCTTCTAGGTCAAATTGAACACTGTCGTCGTAACCTTCAGCGAGTGAAATGGTATGCTCAAAAAGTAGATCCTTTGCTGACGTCAAACGGCCAGTGTAGTAGGCACGTTCGAAACTAATCGTCTTATTGATTTCTTGTCTTGTCACTTTTATTACTATAGCCGCCCGAGCAAGCGTCTGATCTGATTTTGATATACGTATCTCTAATGTGATTAAATTATTCTTAGGAACAGCGTTGTCTGGCAGATTTTGATTTAGAACAATTCTTATTGATGGCCCTTCTCCAGTAATCCGGAAATAATTAGCTAAGTCTAAAACAAAAGACATGTAATATGAATTGTTGAGCAGTTGAAACTGTGATTTCATTTTCAATAATTATTTTCGCTATTAACATTTTGTATGAAGGTCCGTATAAATGGTTGAACAATTCTATGATATGAGCAGCTCACGTTGGCTATAAAGATTGTTAGTAGGGCTGAAGATGTGTAATCAATGTATTACTTATTTTGGTTTTATAACTTACCACCGTGTAATGTGGTTCGATGAGTTGTTGCATCGTAGTTTCCTGTTATTGTTATTGCTTCTAAGGTAACAATAGTATTATCCAAGGAGCCTACATAATATGCTTTTTCGAAGTTTAAGTTATCTTCTGCAATTTAATATAAAACGTATAAAAGATATTCGAAAATATAAAACATGTATTTAATGTCTTATACCTTTCAGAAGTTCAATTGATATAACAGATCTTTCTCTAGTTGTTTCCGGTTTTAATGCTTCAATAGTGAACCATATTTGTTTATTATTTTCAAAAACATCATTTGGTATTACGTTAGTTGTATTTTTAAGTAACGTAATTGAATTCTCGCTTTGGGTTATATAGAACCATTGCGACGATTCTGTAACAGAAAGATAAGCGAACGTTATATTTTAAGCAATGTAAATACAGTATTAATATAATCTGTTTAATTTATCTTACCTCCTTCTAACTGAAATGACACTGTACTATCAAAACCTGACGATAATTTAATAATCTCATTGAATCGTAAACCAGTATTCTTGCTATATACTCCCGTATAATAAGCTTTTTCAAATACTGGCTGGATAATATCTTCCTTTACAACGCTAAGAACTATAGTGGTCGTGCTAGATATGGCATCAGTTTTTCGAGCTTCTACATCAAGCGTTATAAAATTAACATTTCTTAAGTCCTGTTCTAACAATGCATCCTTTGGTGTTATAAGTAGTCTATTTCCGCTATTGGTAAATGTGAAAAACTCGGAGTATTCTGTAAATAAATAACAAGGTATTAATATTAGTTTTTATTACACAAATTAGTTAGCGTTAGTTATAAGCAATGTATATATATTTACTACATTAAATCAATATAAATGCTTAAGGTACGAAATATATAATAAATAGTTTAGTAGTTTTAATTACAACACAAGTATGTAATGCTATTTAGTAGATGTGATCTTGGGTGATTATCTGTTACATTTGATAATTTTATGTTTGTCTACTCGCGTGAGCTGCAGATAAAACTAAAAGGAAATACCTCCACTCGGTATAAACCGGACTTGATCTGTAAATCCATCTTCAAGAATCATATCTTCGATAGTTATAACATTTCTTTCTAAGGTCCCACGGTAAGAATTTTTGGAAAACCTTAATACTTCGGGCTCCGTTAAATCTATAAATAATTATGGTATATAAATAAGTACACACTAATAATATACAGAATAGAAGAGAAACTTATATATACATCTGATGAACGCTGCAATATTTTTAATGTTTAGATATTTAATAATTCTCGTTATCAATGTTTATGGACCTTATAACTAAATGCTTTGAGCTTGATTTTTAGTTAATCCTCACGCTATTTGATCAGTCGGTAAAGATTTGTATTCGAGTACATTGATCGTTCGTAGTTTTCTAGAAAACACCATCACTTCGTCAACGAGAGAAACGTAAACGAAGACAGTGTTCTACAAATAATTTGTCTTTTTTAAATAAAAGAAGATGTATTGGTTGTAATTTAATGTTCCTCCTAAATAAATGAATTATAGACAACTCGTTCTTTCTTATATAAACGTTTGCTACCAGTAAGGTAGCAAAACAAAAAATGTTGCCTAGTTGATCAAAACATTACTCTTTCAACCTTTGGCCATAAACTACAATGATTCGTGTCGTCCGTGCTACTCTTTCGAGTCCCGTACTTATTTTATTATCAATCTTAATAGATGAATATGATGTCGTGAAATTTGTTATATAGTATTGAACTAAAGATGTACCAAAGCTTACCTCTCGGAAACCTTACAACAAGCGCTGTGTTTCCACCTACAGTGTTTGGTTTTGTAGCTACTATGTACAAAATAAAGGATTTTACAGAAAGAATAACATTGGTCGGTATAGAAGACTTCAACGTTACCAAAACATTGCTTTCGTCATTGTTTAATGCAAAATAATTGAAATGTTCTGAAAAATATAAATACATATAGCATAAGTTATTTGCAAGAGACACGTGTCATTATTCTAAGAGTGGTTAATTTATAATTAAACTATAATTTAAAAAAAGGAATTTAGTGATGTACTTTTATAGGCTACAATTACTGTCTTTAATTTATTATTTAGGACATTAGTAAATCTGATCTGTGTGATATTCCTTACCCCCTGTGTGGGGTACTGACAAACATGTTTCTGTGTCGTTAATAGATCGATATTCTTAATCTGCATCTACGCCTCGCCTTGCCTATTTAAACAATAATATTGAGTAAGTAAGTCTCAGTTTATCAACTGATATAATTTTACACATTACCTCCGCGTAGTTGAAATCTCACAGTGTTATCATATCCTTGATTTAACATAATATCATCAATATTCATATGCGTCGCATTTACATAAAGTGCTTCGTAAACTTTCTGACTAAAGACAGGTGTAATAAAATCTTCTTTGACAATGTCAAATATTATCGCCGTAGACGCAGTTGTTGTATGTGATCCTGATGCTGTCATTTCCAAATGAATAAAACTATTCGCCCTTATAATTTCTTGGGGAATGTTACTCTTCAAAGTAATAACTGGATTTCGCTGATTTGAAACGGTAAAGTAGTCAGAGAGATCTGAAAATAGTTATAACAAAACATATTATTGTTTATGATCAAATCTATAATTTTGTAAATAAACATGTAAGCTAATGAAATTAATAGATTTAAAGGTAAAAATCTAAATGTTAGTAATAAAGCAAGTTGCCATTTCTATTGGTGAACGAACGCCATTGAAAAATAGAGAAAGCCGCGTTGTTTTACATGATATATCTAACCATCTTTGTATCTTTCAATCAAAAGATTGGGTTAAATTTAAGTTATAAACCTAAACGACGACATGTGACCAATCAATGCGCATGCGACTTGGCTTAGACTTAGACTTTGACTTAGGTCAAGAAAGACTGAGTCTTACTTCAGCTTCTGAAATTTTTCACCGGATAGTATCTTTTAGAAAGTTTAGATATATTCGGTGGTTTCAGACATGATAATCAGATATAATAAATAGTATAATGATAAAGTTAATAACATATACTCACCACCACGTAACCGAAAAACTACGTCGTCCTTAAAACCTTCGCTCAAGCTGATAACGCTATGTTGTAGTTGATTATTTTCTAATTTCCCTCGGTACTTTGAAGAGTCGAAACTCAATACCCTAGCTAAAATAACGCAACATCGAAAAACGCTACAAAAGTATTACCTTCGAAGCTGCGGACGATAGACGAAAAAATTAAGTAAACAGATTTTTGAAATACCCAGAGATAGTGCATTTGATTCTACACCATATATATAAATAATATTCAGACAGTTTTAATGTCTGGTTAAAATACCAAAATTCCGTCCGGGTCACGAAAAACCGTCTACAGATAGGAAACCTAAGAATCATTTATTCATTCGCGTTTCGGTTTCGGAGGCTTCCCGATTGTAAACCAAAATAAGTCGATAGCACATTGAGTTATTAGATTCTCTAAGTCTGGGTATATTCTCTCACAAAAAAAAAGTTTGTAAAAAGATATACTTACCTTTCATAACCTTTAATCTTACACATACTTATAAAATACTTCGACTGATATTTACACGTGTCAGAGATATTGAAGTGAAGAACTTATGTCATGGAATAAATATTGATATAAAATTTTTCCCTTATAAGTTTTTCATATCAAACTGCTTAAGCGTATTATTGCTATACAATTGTAACTAAACATATCTCTATTGTAGATGTGGTTTTCGTCTCCTTAATTCACTTACTATTAAGATAAATTTCTATATTGTTCAGGCCAAAAACGAACATAATTTTTTACTGGAATTGCAGTCTGAAATCGACTTTATAAACACATTTATTAAACGTGCAACTACATTGTCCGTTTGTGGCCTGATCGTCTTTTTCTTAGGGATTATCACCTTTTACATACTTACCATCAGGCAATTGTACTATAATAGTAGCAGTTGTTCCGCTAGTGTCTTCTCTTTCAGCACGAAGAACCAGATATAATTGATTCTGCTGCATAATATCCGAAGATAGTGGAGTTCTTACTGTAAGCGTTACGTTATTTCCGATTGCAACTTTGTTAAAGTTACTCGCATGTGCTGCAAAAGAAAAATGAAATATTAGGGATTTGGATATTCTATTAAAAATTATAACACTTTTTAACAGTTTAAAAGGCAAATTATTATAATAATAACTTTAATCAGCAATACAACTAATACAGCCACCATGGCCATGTAATCGTCGTTGTCGATCATCAAGCACTTGTTAAATAAATTAACAAGACTAATAACATCGAAAAATTGCGGCTGGGGAAAAATTTCACGTTCTAAACCGTTAAAAAGCAGTTATAACTAATACTTGAATTTTGGTATGTATTGATGTTTAAACATTTACAAACTTTACTGAAATAATAAATAATTAATCAAATGAATAAGGTATTTATCAAGGACTTAGAGCAATAGTTCCATGGAGGTTTTGGAACCTGGGTCGGACGAAATGTTACATCCGTTATTTTCTTACAAAATTTATAATAGCATCCCGGGGTATGGGAGCAGGGGGTGTTGGTCAAAGATGACGTCATTAATTTAATATCGAAATCATGAGCTCTCATATCCTCCCAGCAGACATAAATAGGTTGAAAATCGAATTGCTGCTAAATGTTAAACACGATAGCATATTACATTCTACTTCGCTTGGCGTCTTATTATCAAACTAATGAATAATCAATTGATGTATCTTACTTCCTTCTAAGCTAAAATTAACTAGATCGTCATAACCGCGTGTCAAGAAAATCATTTCATCAGTTATTAGGTTGTGATCTTCGTTATAACTGATTGTGTAGAAGGCCTTTGAAAATTGTAGTTCATCTGGTAATTGAAATTGCGTATCTGGTATTATTTGAAGCGTCGTGGTTGTCGTACGTGAGGGGTTGTTGGTTTCATCGACGTCCTGTAAATTTTATATAATAAAATTGAAAATTATTTTAACTACGGATGCTTTGCAGCAGTTGTGTGTTGCAGCATTCGAAAAGTCGGGCCGTAGTTAGAGTAATATTCAAATAAATTTACCTATATATCGCGTTTTTAACCGTTAAAGTGTTACAATTACTTTAACGTGTTAATATTAAACAAAGAATTTGTTATGACTTGTATCATTATTGTTTTTATGGAACTATATATTAAATTTAAGACTTGGGCAAGACTTGAACCGGCATCTATGCTACCGATTTGTTATGTGATGTGTTTTTAGTAAAAATTCTTCGTTAAGTATAACTTAGAATTTAAGTAACTTACTGTCGCACTAATTGTAAAATTCAGAGGTTCAGATATCGTTCTTATAAACCTCTTTACTCTCAAACTTGCTGAAAAACGTTTCGCTTCAGTTGATTTGTCGAAGAGTATCTCAAAATCGGGATTGTCGTCCATCGTAAATTCAATTCTTTGTGTGGTAAGGTCGATGTCTTCTACGATTATCTCATTATTGCATCCTGTCACCATGAACCCTGGAGGTAAGGGTGGGGTCACAGTGAACTTATAACCACTAGTTGGTATGAACTCCGGTGCATGGTTGTTCGTGTCTGTTATTGCGATTTGGAGAATCTGAAAATATTATTGTTAGTTTAAAAAAATGTTTTAACAAATTCGAAGGAATGGCTCGACTTGTAGTACGTTGATATATAAGTAAAATACAATACGTATTATGTAATGTTCTGTGCCTTTTCCACTGATTTGCGACACAGGTAGATTCTATTCTATGTTCTACATGGGTATCGAATCCATAAGATCTCTTGCACAGCTCTTTAATATATATTTTACGTTTTAAAAAAACACTTTAACGGTTTAAAACGCGATATATTTTAGTTCCCCGTGACCACGGCTGCTGCAAAGCATTCAAAACGTCGGGCCGAAGTTAAAAATCATTTTCGAATAAGTTTAACTAATAAAACGCGTTTTAAACCGTTAAAGTGTTTAAATTAAACTGTCTAGTTGTGAATTAAGTACTGTAGAAGTAATCAACAACTAGTTGAAAGAATGATAATAAGTCCATATGGGGAAAAAACTATTAAAATAACTGACTTAATGGTTACAATTATAACATGTCCATAATTAATCCTTTAGAAAAGTCCTGATATATTAATATGCAGCTAAGCTATTTTCCCAAAGACTCCTAAGCTAAGTAGTAATAAGAAATAACTCTAGTAATTTGTATTTCTTAGTACCTACTAACTCGGGTCACTCCCTAGGCTTCAGTTAATCATACTATAAAGATAAAAGTAATCAACTGATTCTCTTGATTGTCTTGTATAAATCCTAAAGACCTAAAAGGATATAAAAAAGTAAATACCAGAGAACGAGATGATGGCATTGATTCCGGAGAGCAGATAAACGTTACAGTAACTCTCATAGTCTTAGATGTTTCATATTTTTCGTAATCCGAAAAAGATGCAACTGTAGCAACTGTGAACCGCGAGTCTTCATGTTTAACTTCTATATATGGACCTCGGTTTAGACCTTCTCCGTGCGCTATGTTTTCTATGCCTGGGAAAAATATGATAGAGGTGTACACGTGTGCGGTTCACTTTATGGTAGGTGAAATAGAAAAATCTGAACAAGAAACGCTGTCGATCTATTTTGGATTGGGATATTCGGATATTCACAGACTGAACCAGAAACTGCAATTAAAATTGGTCTTTTCTTATGGGGTCGGTTGGTCGTTATCTGGATGGAATTTCGATATTCCTACCACCCTTTTAATATCCAGATTTCCAAACTTTGTACGACAAGTTTCATAATTTGTTTAAATCGATTAGAAAAATGTTAGAACCGGTAGAGATCAAATCTACGATCTGTTGATTACCATTACACCAACGTGTCTATTAAAAATATACAATAACATAGTTATAATACTAATCTATGCATTACGCGTTACTGCTTAGATTTAATTGTCATACAAGTGTAAGGAAATAAAATAATAGTAAACATAGATCCACTTGAATTGTTTGAAGCAATGACTCAAAAGTGAGTCTCCTTCAGAGACGAAAAACCGCAGCCTACGATGATTTATGAACTGCCCAGCAAAAACTATTTTAACCCCTTTCCGGGATTCGAACCCAGGACCTTCGAACTCTATATCTGTTATCAACTCTGATTCACATAGGTTCATACTTTTAAAGTGTCTACTAGTTAGTATTCAATTTAAACTATTATCCTTTAATTCGAGTGGATTTTTATCATTGTATATACTTACGTTGAATATTGCTCGTGGTTCGATCAAAAAATGTTCCAATTTGAGTATCAAGTGTATTCACTTCAGCACGTAGATTCCAATTTGTGATTCCATCCATTTGACAAGCTGAAATAAAAAAAAAAACAATCTCAAACGATTTCTCAAACATCCACATACATTATTATAATCAATTTTAAGTTTTCGCCTAATTATTATATACAAGCAGTTTGCTTGTGAAATGGGAGACAGCACTGGCTTTTGTACACCATCTGAGAGTAGCGATGATGCATCGCTTTGCCCCCCCGATGAATAAGAAGTGACTAGTTAACTGCAAAGTTACGTTAGTTTAATACAAGCTGTATTTAGGGAAAAATAAAAGTCCAAATTATATATATACTAATATGAATAAATTAAATAGTTTTTTGAACACGCTAATCTCAAGAACTACTGGTTTGAATTTAAAAATGTGTTGGTTGGATAATCGACGAAGGCAGGCTTTAAAACATCCAAACATAGGACCAGAGAAACAAAAGGAAATGTGGAAAAAACGGGGAAAATCTTTTCGCTTCCGTTGCGTGCGTTGCAAAAACTATTTATGAAACAAAAACAACAACGACGGGACATAATAGCCATAATTTAATGAGGAGGTCTTTCGCAAAAGTAGAAATGGTGCCCAAAATCACTATTCCACGTGGACAAAGTCGCGGGCACAGCTAGTAAAATTTTAAATAAATCGCACTGGGGTGTGTGCTGTAAAACTGAGTAGAGTAAAAATGTAGAGAAGTGATAAATATAAACTCCCTACGTTTTATCTTTGTTAAACGTTCACTTATCCGTACTTTATTTATATAAATTTAATGTCACTTGATATAACACACTCAAGAGAAAATTGTCTTTCAGGGATAGATCTATGTTACAACATTTTCTTTTAAACTAGTCACAAAAGTGGTATCCTGTTATTATGGCGCCGTTTATCAGTAATTTTTGTTTTAGCTTTTATATTTAAATGGTGATTCTGGACTTTAACCTTCTATGTGGAATGTTAAAGAAATGTAATGATTAAAAAAATACATTTATTTTAAATATAGGAGGACAAACAAGCTACAAAACACTACAGAAGATCAGCCTTCACGGCTTTTTCATCTGTTTGTGATCCGGAATTTCGATACTACCCATTTAATATTCAGATTTCTACAAGTCCAACATGCTTCAGAAAAATTATGAATTTTAAAATTAGAGACATGTTTCACCTGGTGGGAATCGAACCCAAGACCCGTTGATTATTAGTTTACTACAAATATTGCTATCATTGCACTAATTGATAAAAAAATTGATTGTGCTATACTCAAACAACTGACTTTCATATCTGTGACAATGTTTGAATCCTGCATTCTCTACCTCTGGTTATTTAATTTCAACAAAAGTGTCAATTAAACGTTATTAATATTTTAAATAAAGCTGTTTTCAAAAATTTTGCCAACTTAGTCACTTACAATCCTAAAATCTAACAGATATTTATAAAAAAAAAACTTTTAAACAGTTGTTGAAAATGTGTACATCAAACCAAACGATACAAGATATAGATATTTTTTTGTCATAATATAAATTATATGATTTTAAACATGAGTACACAACAATAATAGATTATATTTATAACTTTTGTCATGAATTTAAATAAATATTAGATTATTATCAACGGAATTTGAATGTTTAAATGAGCTCATTGCCACTTATTCATACTGAGGAATTCGTATTCATAAGATAGTAAAATGATAAGGAGGAAATGAGTATTAATTAAATCAACAAGAATATTCTACTAGACTCTTCTCTTACTGTATCCCCCAAACGTCCTAAAAGTCGTGGGTTCGAACCATAAGGAAATATATTTCATAGATCAGGGAATATAAATATTTATCAACTACTTGCTTGTATATAAAACAGACATGGAATTGTGTCAGTTATATATTTTAGGTAAACAGGATAGCACCATTCGCCAAAGCAGTAACAGATGGCGCCAGCATCGCGGCTATTAGCGCGAGGGAGAGTGATGTCATCGATAATTATTAGCAATGTACGAAATAAATTGAATTAACTGTTTGAAACCGGAACTATGGTTTTTTTTATTTTATCTAAGATCCGGCGTTACAGTGTTTTGAATGCTTCTGTACAGCAGCCTGATTTGTCTATAGTCAAATCTTAGTAATAAATCTCTAGACATACTTTTAACAATTATTTGTGATTTAATGTCTTCACATATTAAGGAATAATCTTAAAACACAAATTTATTTTTATAATGGAAAACGACAAACCAGCATGAGGGTCGGTCAATGTAGTCTTATAACATCTTAATAAATGTCTAATAATCTACAGGTCGTTGGGTCGAAGGACATAGTAAAATTTTACCCATAATTATTAAGGATTACAATCCATAACAGACTGCTTTTGACAATAGACCAATTTATTAGAGTATACAGACCCAAACATATATATGGTAGTTGGCATAGCGCCAATAATCCTATATAAATCCGGCTACATAGATCCATTTCGGCTTCGTTTTATATAAATGGCTTCATCACACAAATGCACCTGTATCCCACTATAAATATTATACGAATCACTTATTCACAATACTTTTAGAACAAAACAGCAGCTCCAAAATACAACTGAGTGGTATATGTTTTATCACTTTACTGATAAAGAATAGACTGTATTATAATGGTCATTACCTGCCAATCAATCGATTGATATCTTTGCGAGGAAGTGCGATAGCTTGAAGTGATAGAATTATGTTGAAATGATTATTAAATTTTTTGTTACAGAGGTGGAGAGTCAAGCATAGGAGTTCACTTGATCGTAGGTAATGTTGCCAAATAGTGAGCAAGTTTTTCCATCTGTTGTCGATAGTTTGTGACCCGGATGATATTTCGCTTCTCTAACCACGTAAGAATAAAAGATTGTTTGTAAGGAAGACAGGGCGAACCCAGGATTCAGCATTATACTCTAATTCTTTGAGTTTTTCAATTCAATTATAAATATACATTTAATAAAATAATAAAAAAAAAAAAAAAAAAAAAAAAAAAAAAAAAAAAAAAAAAAAAAAAAAAAAAAAAAAAAAAGGGGGGGGGGGAAAAACGGGCCCCGCCCGCCCCGCGGGCCGGGGCCCAAAACCCCCGCCGGGGGGGGATTTTTTTTAAAAAAATTTTTTTTTTTAAAAAAAAAAAGGCCCCTTAAAAAAATAATTAAAGTAATTTCCATTTAAATACACTTAAATACCATACTTATGCAAAGCGGTTTTAATTAAAGGATTTGAAAGAATAATTATTTATGTTTTACCAATATTAGCCATTAGTTTGATTGCAATCTTATCAGATAATTACTTATGATTTTATATACCGCGAAAGATAACACGAGGCAAACATTATTCCAGAATACTTTTTGCTTTATTAAATTAGGCGTAAGTAATGTTATTGTTTCTTTCCAAAATCGCCACTTTCCAGAACATATATACAATGACTAGTTCTTGACACTCTACATTATTTGATATAAAATATAGCCTACAGTAGAAAGTCACGCTAGCGTACAAGTAATTATATGACACACTATAACGGTTCAACGCGAAATATATTAGACGCTTTAAAGCTGCCGTAAAAACGTCGGGTCATAGCAAAAAGTAACATGTATATTTCACGTTTCAAACGATTTAAAATCTTGTATAACGTTTTATTTAGTAATTATTACAGGCTCTTTAAATGTGACTTATAAGAATTCACAATTGTTATAACATTCAGCATAATATCATTGTTTTCCAGGCTGTTTGACCGACGTGACCGAGAACCTCTTCTCGACGTTTCGCCATTACCTGCGGACGGCATCATCAGGAGATGTTAGCTCCTCTATTGCTCGAAGAATTAAGGAGCTTATACAATTTATTATGACGTAATTAGATAGAATAAGTAATAATAAAAAATTGTTTTTTTTTGTGCTCTACAATAACGATTGTAACAAACAACTTACTTGTGGCTACAATACATGTTGGTCTTATCATAATTTTAATTAATTTAATTATAAGCATAATCTACCATTACAGAAATATCCATTGCGATACATATTTCATGGAGTGATGTTTCTGTTAATTGACCCTAGCTGCACGTAAATTTCGATTTGTAATATTTCCTTTAAACAGAAAACTCTAGATAACTAGCAATGAAGATACATTTTCGTGCACCATGGACAATCTTTCGAGCTGGAATTTCATGCCATTAGACCAACGGAACATTAATTAAAACGACAACATTGCGGCACAATTACAAAACAATAACCAAAATACTCATTCAACCGAAATTTGACCCGAAGCCCTCAAAGACACAGCATTTCATTACAGTCCCACATAAAATACAATTGTCTCGTTCGCCAAACCGAGTCCACAGATAATTTATTGTAATTAATATCAGTGAAATGAGACTAAATACAATAGGGTTTGTTGACAATTGGAAAATGTAGTTTCAACTTTAGACAACGATATTGTTTAATAATCTATATTTAGGACTTATGATAAGAACTGACTTAAACGATGAAAAATAAAATATGTATACTATAATACGTACCAACTGAATTTCTAGAATAGATAAACATAGAAGCCATGTTCACCCACCTTTTTGGCGCTAAATATAAAAACATCGATATTTATTATTTCTCATGAATTCATGAAAAGTGAAATTTCCACTACTTCAGCTGTACTGTTTCTAGCCATTGTCTTTGTCCAAATCATTTCAAATTTAATATATATACAATTTATACTATAGTCAAATAAAAAAATGTGTATTTAATAAAAACGTTAATATTTATGATAAAGTCGATCTGTCAAACGCTAAAAATGCTTGTCCTATACCCCCGTACCGGATTCTTTTAAAACTGTTTTTTTTTTTGTACAGACCAGCCATTTCTAAAATAACACTATTTAATAAATAAACTACAACATATATAATAAGAATTGCCTTTCGATCGAGGAGGGTCAACTTTATGAGGGTGATATAGTTGAAATAGAACCTCCAAGTTTGATTGCAGAATAGTTCTCAGCTGTTTTGCATCTATGTCACCGTATATTTATAAGTTTGTTACTTTGTTACCATACTCGAACACCTAATCTTACTATGCGTTCACTGCCATAACTGGGTTTGAATCCCTAGCTAAAATGAATATGAAGAGGAACGTCAGAGATGTTGGAGGCCGAGAAACCTTCACGGCCTTTTGAATACGAGTATACAAATGTTTCTAGTGTATAAAGATTGAGTATTTTTTTTATCTACGTGAGTAGTACACATTTAAATAAAGTAAAATAAGTTACCTGATTTATTTCGTATTTTCATACATTTTCTATTAATGTCTGCAGTATTCACGAGTTATACACATTTTTAACGGTTAAAAACGTGAAATGTATTAGTTAGCCTATTTACAATTTATTTTAACTGCGGTCCGAATTTTCTAATGCTTTGTAGTAGCCTCGGTCTTCGCCCGTAATTCGTCGGGCCGTAGTTAAAATAAATTGTAAATAAGTTAACTGATGTAACGGTTTACACCGTTAAAAATGTTTTATTTAAATTATAAATTTGTAATGACACCTATTTAAGAATAGCGATTATGAATGTTGAATTGAAACACAGCAATAATTAATGTATAGTTATATTCTAACAAATAAATGTAATAGATATAATGTACGCTTCTGTATAACGACTTTTTTATATTCTTCATATCTTTCCCTGCCGTAGACTGTAGTTTGTTGAACCACTGTTTTGCTATTAACTGTAGTTTTCCACAGGATGATACTACCAGTTCTCCATATCGGGAATGTCTTCCATACTTTCTTGGGGTTTCCTGTTGACAGTAACGTTTAGAGCTAGCAGTTGGTCAATTGGTAATCTTGGTGATAGGTTTACCATGCTAGCCCATTGCCCAGTGCACAGTTCTGGGAATTTTAGCTTCTTTAAGAAATGACCTTCCAAAAACCATGGTGACACGCAGGTGGGTGAATAGTCCCAAATCTTCATTTCGTTCAAGCGCACCCAACTGCAAATATGTATTATGTGTGTAACTAAGATTCATAATTATCTCAGGTACTTGGTATAATTATAGCAATATGTTTATATATAGTTAACGCGAATAGTACACATTTAAACAAAACATTCTTAATTATTTAAAACGCGACTGGTATTAAGTAACTAATTTACAATATATTTTAATTACGGCGCGACGTTTCGAATGCTTTGCAGTAGCCGTGCTCACAGGGGATAGGAAGGGTCGTAGTTAGATTAAATTGTAAATAAGTTAACTAATACTTTTCGCGTTTTGAACCGTTAAAAGTGTTTATTTAAATATTTTTTTAGAACACAACAAAATAAGACAAAATTTATAATATTTTTGCGTAAATTTTTCTTATCTTGAACTGTTTTCCCGACGTACACAACGGATAGCCACAATGATGAATAATTTTCGCCCGGTTTTCTCCACATTTCCCGCTTTTCTTTGCCTCTATTAGACAATATTTTAGTCTATAACCTTTTATGTAACGTTATTAAATCTCTTCAAACAGTTCCAAATAGCGTGAACCGGACAATATATAAAACGAACAAAACATTAAGTAGAGACCTAACATATAATATAAACGTTAATCTATAGTAAAACGCATTTGATTAGTGGTTGGCTTAATGGACCCAACATGGGTTCGAATCCCAGAAAACTTTACTACTTACAATTTCACTTTATTTAAGTATTATTTTAATCTGTCGAAAGTGTTGTATATAGTAACACAGACATTTCTATTCTATTAAGTTAAAGAATAAGCAGTGGATTACTTTTCTAGAATCATATTTTTTCTTCATGAGCGATCCACGAGTCTATCGAAGTATATCCTTAACTAGCTGGGTCAGCGACTTCGTCTGCGTAGAATAGTTATAAGTCTATAATTTTAAGTTATTAAGTTACCCACGACGCCGTCGTAGTCCCGTCGTTCTTGGAAGTTAATCTTAAAATATATTATATAGCGTCGCGGACTTTTTTAGATAATTTAAAGAGGAATCATTCTTTCATACACAATATTTTTGTGTATCTTCACCTATATTAGTCACAGGGCGATGTTTTATAGCCTTTAACCTTCTTCGATAAATGTTCTAATCAACACAAATAAATGTTTAATTCGAACCCCTAGTTCCTGACTTAAGCGCATTCAAACATACAAACAAACAGCTTTATATATTAGTATAGATCGCATCTACATGCATCTGATGACTCATTAAAAGTTATTTAGTATCCCGGGAAATTTCTCCAGGAACGCATAATAGAGAAGCTAACGAAGCAGGAGGGAGAATTGTGATTTTCCTTACTTACGCCGAAATATACAGAGCGTGGCAATCGCAGTGCCATGGGTTGTTTGACAATTTGACGTTAGCAAGCTTTGGCATGTAGTCGAAAGTTCGCGACGGAAGCGACGGGAACATATTGCTGTCTAAATATCTGAAGGAAGATTAATATAAACAAACTTAATACTTACAGTTCAATAACTTGGCAATAACACATAACACGATATAGTGTTGTGCTATTAACGTGGGTATACACTATAACTATTTTAAACAGATTGAATCGCGTAATTTATTACAAGAGTACATTTTTGCAACAAATACAATATGAAAGAATTGTAAGTTTTAATAACAATGCTTATAGGAGACACAATTGAGAATTTAGAATTAAAGTTTATATCCTTTCCGATGTATATTGCTTGAAATCGAATATAGAGCTTATCTCTATAGCATAGCTTCAAAAGCTTGCCTATAAAGGGACTCAGTCAAAATTGTTATCGTGTTTTAACATAAAAAAGCTAAGAAAGGGCGCCACCAGCATTGCGTTGAGCGCGAGATGTCCTGGGTTCGAATGCCAGGAAAACAAAAAAAAATGTTTCGGTCGGGTAGGGATCTGATAGTCTGATCAATTACTTGCGCGTTAAAAGAACGGATCAGTGAAACGGACACAGAAATGTGTTTGTCCCATGCCCCACCAGGGGAAACGGGCTTTCACTTTTTCTTATCAATTTTGTCCTCATCAAATGTTTAATCCATACATCTAATACATGCATCTTATTTTTAGTATTTTCAGTCTAAACAGTATTTTATTTAAATGATAGCTTTCATTTAAAACAACATGTAAGGAATAAATACTGTTATATTACGCGAGGGTAGTACACATTTAAATAAAACACCTTAACGGTTGCTTCGCAGCAGCAGTGCGTCTCCCCGTGACCACGGCTGCAAAGCATCCGCAACGACGGGCCGAAGTTAAAAATCATTTTCAAATAATTTTAACTAATACATCGCGTTTTAAACCGTTAAAGTGTTTTATTTAAATGTAAAAAATAATTATGTTTCAGTGCGTCATGCAAGTACTTTGTGCTCCAAAGTAAAACAACATTCTACCTATTGATAAAGCCTTAGCGAAAAAACACTCACAGTGTCGTTAGATTTTTAAGCATAGCAAACGTTTTGAAATGTACTTCGTATATTTGGTTATCTGAAAATATTAACGACGTCAGATTCCCCAAGCCGTAGAAGGTTGACTCGTTCAAGAATTTCAATTTGTTTCTCGACAAATCCAGCTTTTCGAGGCGAGAACAGTTCGCGAATGCGTTGTCGGGCAATTCGGATAACAGGTTCTCCTTTAAATCCAAATTTCTCAATTGGTTGAGATGTCTGAACTCTAGACCGGTGAGCTGAAAAGAAATAGAAACTTGACAAACCACATTTTAGGACACTAGCACACAGTGGAGTCGAAACATAAGTATAACTTTAAATTACGGTACGTTATTTAGTTTATAAAAAATAGAATTACAAGACATAAATAATTTATTTGTACTAAAATTTTTGAATACTGTATAGGTAAAAAATATATAATAGTTTTTTATAATAAGTATTTAGTCAATGAATACTTTTCAAGTCTAATCGCGTTTAAGTTTCAGTCTGTGCCAAAGTCTGTGGTTTTTTTTGAGAACTTTAATATTTTTCACCTGTTATTGAACATGATGGCATTATACATTTTAAAAATCGATTTTAGATTGAAAAAATAAATTTTAAATTGAATAATTGAATTGAATAATAAATAAGGTTATAAAGATCGCCGCGATAGTAAGAGCAACAGCACCGAACGCTGTGGATACAGGTCTAAGTCCCGTACGAGTCGTAAAATTTTAAATCTTAAATCGATTTTTAATTTGCTCTAATGGGTTGTTTAACTTTACGATTAATACAGTAGTACTCCTTCGGTATAAAAACAGAACGATGAATGAACTTACACTCATTATATTATTCCTATATAGATCCAAATAGGTCAAGCTGAAAAGGTTAGAGAACAAATTGTTCGGAATATGACGCAGGTCATTTTTGTCCAATAAAAGAGTCTCCAAACAAAAGAGACTCTCAAACGCATTCTCCGTTATATTATTTATTTTATTATCTGAAAGTTTCAATATTTGCAGATTCTTCAAATGAAACGTTCCGTTTTGTATCTGTTGGATTTTGTTATTAGACAAATCTAAAATTAATAAGGAGCGTAGTCCGAAAAATGTATCCGAAGGAATATATACGATTTGATTGTTTGAGAAGTCTATAGTTTCCAAGTATGTGTTATTTGCGAATAGACGTTCAGGTAGAGTGTACAAGAAGTTATTGGATAAATCTACGTGGAACAACTTTTTTGTATGCCGAAAAGCTTCGCTGTCAATCTCCTCTAAGTAATTCCTTTGTAAGCGTCTGAAACAAAAGAGTATAGTTTGTAAGGGACTTCTAAGATATATGATATTTATACCTATATGGTTACCAATGAGAGTACAATAATAATTTTCGAGATCTTTAAGATCCAAGATTACTCCTCGATTGCTCGAAGAATTATGAATAATTTCTTCGAGCAATCGAGGAGTTAACATCTCCGGAAGGTGTCGTCCGCACGTGATGGCGAAACGTCGAGAATCTCTACTCACTCACGTCGGCCGAACAGCCCGAAAGACAATGATATGCTGAACGATGGCCGTGAAAGCCTTACACAATTTGTCTTTAAGACCATCAAGAATGCTAATGTAATAATTTTACTACTACCCCCACAAAAATTATTTTAATGATATTGAAGTTGACTCAAAGCCATGCTTACTTTGGAAGAGAAATCAACTGGATTTCTAAAGTAAATTATGACATTTTACCGAATAATCCTCACTATTCTGTAAAGTATATAGACATTATAGGACGAGCTCGTTGGTGTAATGGTAGAAATGTTTGACTAATAATCAACGGACAGTCGGTTCAATACCAACCGGGTACAAATTTTTAGTCAATTTATAATTTTTCTGAATCATGTCGGAAATCTGGATATCAACTGGGTGGTGTGAATGTCAAAATTACGTCCGAGCAAACCACCGACCACAGATGAAAAAGCCGAAATCTTTAATCACGTTTCGGCTTAAGTCTGTCAATTTCCGAATATTCGAAGTCAAAATAGGTGGACATCTCTTGCTTCGATGTCATATGCCTTGGGTATTTTACCTAACATAATATAAATTCCTTGCTTGTCTATCATATATATATTCTTTCCATATTTACGAGTACATAAATTATATCAATATATAATATCAATTATATTCTTAATTTTGTATGAATTAAAAATAGTTTATCAAGTAAATATTTCAATATTATGTACAGTATGCGTATACATCTAGCCTATCAATAAGCTGTAAGCGGTATGCAGATAATAATACTTACAATATCCTCAAATTGATAAGGGACTCGAAAATTCCGGAGGGTAGGAATTCCACGTTGTTGTCAAACATGTCGAGCTCTGATAGAGATCGCATGTCTTTGAACGTTGACTTATGTAATGTTCGCAATTTATTCGTCCCGAGATCACTGTAAATAGAAATACCTGAATTGACGATCAACTGGGGCATTGAAGGTTTGAGGAAGTGATATGGTGCTCATGAGAAATTGACCGCCTCTGTGCGCGAGCGCGAGAGGTCCCGGGTATCCCGGGGAAACAATAAATTGTTTCGGTCGGGCAGGGTACAGAAGTCTGATCAACTACTTGCCTGTAAATAAAATCTAATCAGTGAAACAGACACAAAAATGTTTTCGCCCCATGCCCCACGAGAGGAAACGGGATTTTTATTGTTTTATGGGTAAAGGAAACAATCTTTGTAAAAATTCAGAATCTTTTGCAAAAGGTCCTAAGTTTCGTCCTATCTCATTGATATATATATGTATATGGAATCGGCTATCAAGTTTTTATCTTACTTATCGATTAAATTAATGATAAAATTTTTCGTACATTGAAGTAAAAAAAATAAATACACGACACTACTAGGAAATACAATTTTTCCTTTTTATTGAAACGAAGTGTCTTACCTTTGGAAACCTTTAGTTATTAGTATGATAAATCATCAAAAAATAGGCTGCACAGTTCAGGTAAAAAAATTTAAAATGTATATTCGTATGTTTTGTTGTAAGTAATGTAGTAACACATTTCTGTGTCCGTTTCATTGATCCGTTCTTTTAACGTATAAGTAGTTGATCAGACTTCTGTGGACTGCCCGACCGTAACATTTTATTTGTTTCCCTGGGATTCGAACCCAGGACCTCTCAAGCTCAACGCAATGCTAGGCAATACGTTTAACCATTTGGCTACAGGGGCGGTCGAAATACTAAATTAATATGGGTTCGAATCCGCGGGGAACCTAAAGAAATTGTTTCGATCGGGCAGGGCACAGAAGTCTGATCAACTACTTGCCCGTTAAAAGAACAGATCGGTGAAACGGCCACAGATGTAATTCGCCCCAAGAGGGGAAAACTGGCTTCAACTTTTTTAAATTTAGTATTACTATATTTATATTTTATTCGTTTGTGCAATAGAGTGTTTAATAATTATTACCTTTTTTTAAAAGTAAAGGATTTATATATGAGAGGAAATATACAAACATAGTGTAAATATCAATAGGCACAATCAAATCCGCCGTCAAGGCCGTAAGTCCGGATCGCCAGCAGTTTAACGAACGATGTACAGCGTCACATCTGCAGGCGCCTTTCGAACACTGCCGCCAACGAGATTGCGATACACTTATTGTCCAAGCTATAAGCAAAAGGCGTTTATTTTAAATATATAAACGGGTATAACTGAATATAATAATTATTAAATATTTAGTGAAATGCAGTCTTAATAACACAAATTAATTAGTGGTTACCTCATTAAAGTTTCTACATGTCTATTTATGTATCTAAAGGCTTTCTGTAAAAAAGGAATTTAAAACACTTTTTTACGGTTTAAAATGTGTAATATATATATATTCTATTATTGTTATTTTAACTACGGCCCGTTTCGAATTCTTTGCACCAGTTAGGACTACGGCTTGATGCGTGATTGAAGTGTTTTATTTAAATATGTTCACGTTCACGGGCAAACTATTTGAAAACGGGATGTTCTGGTAGCTCAATTGGTAGAGAAATAGCTGGTCATCGATTCGAGTTCGCTCTTGTAAAATCTTTTTACTTAATTACGCAGTACTACTTATTATAAAAGCTACATATATACATTGTTTGTCAATTTATAACAAAAAATATAGATTACTAGCTGTGTCAGCGACTTCGTCCGCGAAAAATAGTTATTTTGGCTATCAAAATGTGCTTTAACAAATCTCCTCATCTCTATAAATTATAAAGTGTTACCCACGACGTCGGTCCCGTCTCGTCATTTTTGCAAGTTAATGTTAATGTCGTGATTTTTTAGCTTAAAGCTTTCCTCGGTAGAAGCTTTAACCAACACAATATTTATAATTTCTCAATTCCAACCTGAGATTAGCGCGTTCAAACAAATAAACATACTCTCCTTTACATATTAATTATTAGTATAGATATATACTTAAAATTTAAAAGCTCTGTTGATACTGTTATTTCTCAAAAAAATATTATCTCGCCCCATTTAACTGATGTTGAGTGTAACGTGGCAATTTGGCATTTATACAACTTAACGGCTTCAATACAAACTGCTTTATTGGTTTTGGCTCAGAGAATTTCGTATATACAAAGCAATAACAACCGGAATGTTAGTGCCGAAGAAAGTTCGTAACCGTATTATTTAGTTTCGATATTAATAAATCCTCGGATTACATGGGATATCTTATAAGGCAAATAGAGAAATCAGAAGTTCATTTAGAACACAATAATAAATATTGTTCTTATATTCCCAATTTTACTCGCCATAGGTAAGGATCCGTATCTACATATATATATTGTCATTGTACAAACGGCAGACACATTTCGCCCCCCCCCCCCCCGAAAAAAACCCCCCTCCCCAAAAAAAGGGGGGAAACCCCTTTCAGGAGTAGAAAAAAGAAATCCAGCCCGAAACGAATGAAGTCATTTACAAAATAATTATATATCTAAAGAATGATTCATCTTTATATTATCTAAAATTGCCCGCGATAGTATATATGTCTATCTTTTAAGATTAACATACAAAAACGACGGGTGAAAATCGTGGGTATCAGCTATAATTTATAAAGCTTAGCTTAAAGTTGCTTTCAAAAATAAATAATATGGCTCCCAAAGTACGAAGTCGTGGGCACAGATAGTAATGGACATGAAAACATACCAGGCTGTTCAATAGCTCGCAAACGTCTGTCCAACTGCCGCCATTTCAAATCTTCGGCACAAGCGGTATCGCCTGGTTTACTCTTCTTAGTCAACATTTGGAGAACCTCGCAAGCGGAGAGAGAACATTCTGCTTCTATCTGCAAGACTGATCAACATAACTGTACTGAGTACTCACCCTGTCAGCGAAGCGAACGTGTAACGTAACAGGTATCAGTGGTTAGGATACTCTATTAGAGATTACTACGTCGTGGGTTCAAATCTTTGATGTATTCAATCTAATAAGTAATAACATATATTGTCTGTGGTTCACAAAGTAGTACCCGTTCGTTTACCCGTCGGTTTAAAACGAAAAATGTATTACTTAACTTATTTACATTTTTTTTAATTGACCCCCTGACCACGGCTGCTGTAAAGCATCGAAATTTTCGGGTCGTAGTCAAAGTAAATTGTAAATAAGTCGTCGAACTTTTTCAATCGATTTATACGTGCACCTCTCGCGCAATGTTTAAGTTAAATTTAGTTAAAGTTTTCAAAAGTATGCTTCAGAGTCAAATATCTAAATCAAATAGAAATAGAAATTAATTATTTGGAGACAGTTGCATTCATTCATACCTCTACCTTTAAAACTTAAAGTCAACAAACCGACTGAATGTTATATTTACGTTTCAAATATTTCAAATTGGTTTTATTTTTAAAATTTCATATTATCTATAAAATATATGAAATTAATACAAAATTATCAAGATTAAACAATGATTTGATAAGATTTGACGATAAAAATAATTGATTATCATTTTTAGATCGTTATCTTTATTTTGTTTAGATAACTTCACATTCTCATGTAAGGTTAAACGTTACGCAATGAAGTTCATTGTGTAACGCGTTACGGAAGAAGTCTGGTAAAATATCGCATCTATCTGAAGTACCATGCATGTAGTTTTTAATTTAAGTACCTACTTTATCGCGTTACATAATTTGTATGATAGGGCACAAATGCAAAAAATCAAAATAATTAAATTTTTTACAGTTTGACAGTGAAGGTTGATAAAATTCAAATATCTTAATATAATCCATAATTTAAATAACAAATATGTAATTTTTGTAGTTGGATAATACTGTAGTCGCAATATATGTTCTTCACCTTCCTTTTGTTACAATTTATTTTTAGTTTTGATGTTTACGTAAATCTTAGTGAATAGAATTACCTTTCATTAAAATAGAAAGTAGTAATTATTATTAGTAATTAATTATAAGTAACATACGAATTAGTTGCAACGTGTTAAATAATGTCTACGCACATTTATATCAAACACTTTAACGCGATATGTATTAGTTAAACTTATTTGAAGATTATTATAACTACGTCCCGACGTTTCGGATGCTTTGCAGTCTCTCCGTGATCACGGCTCAGTATTATTTAAATCAATATGTTACCGTTAGTGAATGTATATTCTTCTGGCAATACATTTTTTAAAGTTTTGTAGGTGAGTACTGGGCATTATATGAACACGAAATTGCACAGTAGAGTGAACCTCATTTCTTCGACGAAATTGCTACCGTGTATTATCTATATACAGCTAAATAATAGGGTAATGTTCCAGAATATTCCTTACAAAATTTTGTATTACTTGGCTCGGGAATATTATATTATATTATGTAAAGTATAATTGTTCGTTAAACTGTCCGTTTCACTTAATCATCCTAAAATAGATTCGTTAAACATTATCTAATAAAAGTTTATATTTATTTTATAATGTTTAAGCCCAAGTTTGTTTTTTAAATATCTTTAATTAAATTATTTTGAAAATGCTGTTTATTTTTCGTCAGTTGTGTTTCGTATACAATGTTAGTATTATTTTATTATTGTGCACTTTGACTATTACTTCGAAATATTAACATATTTTGTGTTTAAGATTATCTTAAAACAGATAGTATTAAAGATAGAATAAGTGTTAGTGTATGTAATGTTAGAGAAGCAAAGCATGCCCCAACAATTAGCGTTATGAACAAAATTAAGGCTCTAGTCATCAAATCTAGTCATCAAACTCTCACTCTACTAGTTTCAGGCTTTTGCTGAGTGAAAACTTATTAAATAATAACGAGAATTTTATAAAACATTCTCAATTTCTTCCCTCCTATAAAATTGGGCTCTTAAAGTTTAAAACCGCACTCTAACAAAAGTTTTGCTTAAAATGAACTGAAATTTGAAACTTTCAATTTCGCAAGTTCCAGAATATTGTGTTAATAATGCGAAAAGTGCTTACTGCTGATGACGTTTGTTGATCTAAATTACTAGAAGCGCTTGATAGCTTTAATATTTTTTAAACATGATGGCACTATATAAATTAGAAATTGATTATAATTGGAAAAAAATTACGACTCGGGCAGGTCTTGAACCGATTTCCTCAGCGTTCCGTGCTGTCACTCTAACCAATTGAACTACCGGCTACAGAAACTCGACAGAGATCGCGTCGAGACTACAGAATAGAGAGGACTCGTTACCTCAATTGGTTAGATCAAAAGCACGGAACCCTGAGTATGCCGGTTGAAGTCCTGTCCGAACCGTATTTTTTATCAAATTACAATCGATTTTTAATTTACTCGAAGCGTTGAAATTATTATTTTATCGGGCCGTTCGATCATTCCTTGTTCTTGGGAATTCGTTGCATATAAAAAAAATTTGGATCGGAACCTGGTTTCAGAAAGAAAATTCCTAGATTCTGGTATCCTTACAATATTTTCATTGCTGCACGTGCTGTATGTGCGACAACAAGGATCAACTTATACAAAAATCCTTCAATTCTATCGGGGTACATACTACAACATCGGTAACTCCCTAAATCTCTGGTTTAATATTAATTTCTTCTGGAACTTGGTTCACCCTTTTATATGGAATGATAAAACCCCGTTCCTGTTATATACTAGCAAGTAGTTTATCAATATTTGTGCCCTGCCTGAACGAAACAATTTAAACAAAATCGTTCTCCTGTGATTCGACCCCAAGACATCTCGTGCTTAACGCAATAAGAGGCTACGCACTTTATAATTGAGCTATGTAGGCAAATATACGGACTATCTGTATTAAATGAAACACTTTAACGGTTTAAAACGCGGTATATGTTAGTTAAACCTATTTGCAAATTAATATATTTTAACTACGGCCGTTTCGGATGCTTTGCAACAGTCACGGTCACGTGTATAAGTTTAACTAATATATATTGCGTTTTAAACTGTTAGTATTGTATTAAAATGTGTACTATCCGCGTAAACTACAGCCAGTATCTATCTGTAATGAAAGAGATGTTGAGCTTCGTGTTGTTGAATTAGTTTTTTGTGCTGTTGATGTAACGACAATGACCAACAAACAATGGCAAATTTATTTAAATTACGATAGATATTGATAGATGAAGAAGAAGAAGAAACTGCATTTTACATTATTTGTGAGAAATCATTGAACTACAAGACGGAAATCGTTTCTTCCAAATCCTAAATAAATATGAGCGCTCAAGCCGCTAAATTATTTCACCCGTCCGCGTCAGTGGAAATTCGTTGACCCTAAATTTTTGCACAAAAGGCTGTAATTGGATTTCCATGTAACGGCTGGGCGAAATATAAACACTCTAGGTATCAAAATAAAGTTCTCATTTATTATTTTACATTATACATTGTGTATTTAAAAAAAAAACATGAAAACTTATAATTCTCCATTGTGGTAATAGTAGTAGTACTACTGCTATTGTTATAGTACCTCATATATAATAATAATAAATAAATAACAAAAAAAAAGATTTTCAACAAGGAGGAAAATAAAAATGCGCAATTAACTTAGGCGAAAGTAGATTTATTACAAATTATAAATATGTGTTATATGTTAATCGTTTTCAGTCACTGTGCTCTTGTATACAAGTTTGATATAACACATGAAAGTGATAAATTAAATTGTAGTCGTAACGCGTTATGTAATGAAGCAATTTGGCCTACCATATGCTATGACTTTCAAATATCGAACTATTATACCATACATGCTCTACGAGGTACGCACACTCTTTTACATATCTCACGGATGAAAGCAGTCTTACGAACGTTGGAACAAAAACCTACCAAAATCACAAATATATGCTCCGAAAAAACAAATTGGCGGAATTGGAAATTTGGGTTCCTCAAACAATAACATCATTTTTATCTTAGCAGCTTTAGACCACCTCTGTAGGTAAATGGTTAATTGAGTTGCCTGACATTGCGTTAAACGCGCGAAGTCCTAGGTTTTGAAACCCGGAGGAACAATAGTTTCTTTTGGTCAGGCAGGCCATAGAAATGTGATCAACTATTTGACTCAACATACACCGATCAGTGAAACGGACGCAAAAGTTTGCCCCATACCCCACGAAAGAAAACGGGATTTCACTACTAATCTTGACAGCGAAAAAAGACTGAGAAATATTATAATTAAGCTATAAAGAATAGGAAAACTTTAAAAAAAAATTACAATATGAAATTGTTCTGTTAAATTTCAAAGCACACCTGCTTGTGTCATCATTTATCCTACTTACCTTGTAATAGTATTTTTAGCACTAAAAATAAAATGCACAGACTGTTCATTTTACTGTCCAATGTTCAATGTCAAAAGGGAACCAGACTGAACCGAGGGTCTGGACACTACCGTTGCTACGAGAGGCTATAGTTGACGCTTTGTTTTACCAAAGGTCGGCATTATGCGGCAGGGTGTCAAGAAAGTGATATTTCCTGTAAGCCAGGTGCAAGGCAAGAAGATGTTTCATTTGAAAATGTTATATTTTTCACTTGTTATTGTACATGATGGCACTATATAATTTAAAATTCGAAAATAAGTTGTAAAAATTTCTACTCGGGCAGACTTGAACCGGCATAGTCAGCGTTCCGTGCTCTGCCAATTGAGCTACCGTGTACACCATCTCATCGTCGAATTTTTAAGAACTTATTCATACATGTGTTTACATTGATCTGTAGCTAAATAGTTATTCGTGTTGTCAAGAATTGCGTTAAGCGTGAGATGTTCTGGGTTCGAATTCCGGAGAATCAATAGATCTGTTACCTGTAAACGAACCGATCAGTGAAA